TTGAACACGTCGTGGAACGTAAGCGCCGCCAGCGTCGTGTAGCCGCCCGCACTTCCGCCGTCGATCGCCAGCCGTTCCCGGTCGGCATCGCCGCGCGCCGCCAGGAAGCGCGCCGCGTTCACGCAGTCGTCGACGTCCGTTATGCCCCAGGTGCCGTTTAGCCGCCTGCGATATTGCGTTCCATAACCGGTGCTGCCGCCATAGTTAACATCTACCACGCCAAACCCCCGGCTGGTCCAGAACTGTATGCCTAGATCGAGCGCGGTCTGCGCCGCCGCCGTGGGCCCGCCGTGGCTCTTGACGAGGAGCGGAGGCCTCTCCCCCTCGGGCGCGACGAAGTCGGGGTTGCGCGGAGGATAGTAGAATGCATGCGCCGTCCTCCCCTCTGTGGTCTCAAATTCGATGGCCTCCGGCGACGAAAGGTACGCAGCATTGACCTCCAGAACGTGTGCCTGCTGCAGCGTTTCCACGTTATTGCTGCCCGCGTCAAACGACATCAGCGTCATCGGGCGGTCTGGAGCCCCAGCCAAGAACACTAGTCGGTTCCCCGAAACCCTCATCTCACCCCGTCCCATCTCGGAATACTGCAAGTCCAGCCGACTGAGTTGGCCGGATCCGGGATCGATCAACCCGATGTTCCAAGTGCCTCTTTCAACGTAACTGCAGGCGATCCTGCCATCGCTGAGAAAGCCGTAAGCGGCCTGATCAAACACCCATTGCGGGCGCGCAAACTCCGCCTCCATCTCCAGCACGGGCTGCACCGCGCCGTCGCGCCAGCGGTACAAGTTCCACCAGCCGCTCCGGTCCGACACGAAATGCAATTCACCTTCGTCAGACCACAGCGGCAGCAGCACTGACTCATCGGCACCACCCGCCACATCCTGAGGCTCACCCAGATTGCCGTTTGCATCGACCACCGCCTGCAGCAGCCTCGTGCCATCCCAGGGCATGTTCGGATGGTCCCACGCCAGCCATGCCAGCGTTTTGCCATCGGGACTCAGGCGGGGGGCGGCGCAGAAATCCGAGCCGGCAAACAGCACTTCCTGGGGTCTGACGCCCTCAGCGTCGACGGCCACTATGGCGTTGACCGGCTCGCCTTCATCACGGTGGTCCTCCCGAACGCAGATGATGCGTCCTCGCTCGGCATCATAGACGCCGTCCGCATACCGCAACGGCTCCTCGGGCGTGATTGGCTTCGGCTCGCCGCCACCTTCCTGGCGATAGAGCCGCTGGTCGCTGAAGTTGGAGAAATATACGGTGCCGTCAGCTACCAGCATTGCGGCGCCGCCGTACTCGTGCACCCTCGTCCTTGCGCTGAATGGCTCCGGCGTTATGTCCGCCGTCGTCCCGTCGCCTTGTCGACGCACGATGACCATTCGTCCGCCCTCGCTGGGCCGCATTTCCACCCAGTAGACATCATCGCCGTCCAGCGCAATCTGCCCGAGACCGACCGCCCCTGAAACTATCAGCGACGTTGTAATGGGGGATTTCCACGATCCATACGGCGCGGTAACGGGCATGACGACATCTCCGGAGCGAGAATAATGGACAGGTCCACCAAAAATATTACATCCTTGACAACTGCTTTTCCATCGAACCGACCTTGGGGCCCAGGCGATTGTGTCTACCGGGCTTTAATCTCATTTTGCTGTCATTTGGGCATTGCCAACCCGGCAATAATTATCTAACATATGTTCTATGTACTAGATGCATGGCAGACACAGGTTTACTGCCATCCCAGCCAGTCTGCTGACTTGAGCCGGCGGTCATCCAGGGAACGCAAAAATGATCGGAAATGATCGGAAATGATCGATTAGCGAAAATTTCCCCTCAATCCTGGTAAAGCCGGCTCCGCACACCCGGCCTGCTGAGCTGCAGAAATCAATACGCTGTTGCCAGCCCACATTCTTGACCCGAACGATCGTCAGAGAAATTCCAGCCTTGCAACACGCCGCTCCCGCCACTCCACACACAGGCAGCCATCCCAACGATTGTCCGCACCTAGACCCCGAAAATGCACAAAAGTGCACAGCCTTGACCCCCTCTGGCTGGCATTCCCCAGAAGCGGGGCCCCTCCATCCATCACTATGGGCTTAGCCGCGGACCCCGTCGCGATCAGCTCGGAGGACGGAATCCGGGCCCGTGTCCCAGCTACAGCCAAAGGCCGGACCAACGACCCAAATGGTGGCTCAACCACCTTGAAACGGAACGGTGGTCCTGCTGGCGCAGGCCGTTGACCGCCTGACTTGCGAGCCGTATATTGGGCCAAATCACGGCCGGGGGTCTCAAATGCCAGAACTTGCCCACACCGCCGACCAACTGCCTCCTCCCTCAGTGGAGGAGGTCAGTCCCGGCGTCTACGCCTATATCCAGCTCGACGGGACCTGGGGACTTAACAACACCGGCTTCATTACTGGCGCCAACGCGGTGTCGGTGATCGACACCTGCTTCACCGAAGCGCGTACCCGCGCCTTCCTGCGGGCGATAGAGGGCGTGACCGACCTGCCCCTTAGAACGCTGGTAAACACGCACCATCACGGCGACCACACCCACGGCAACTATCTCGTCCCAGGCGCTTCAATAGTGGGCCACGAGCTCTGTCGCCGGACCGTAATCGAAACCGGCATCCACACGCTGCGCCCTCTGTTCCCCAACGTGGTCTGGGGAGACCTTGAGTTGGCGCCGCCGTTCATTACCTTCCAGGACCGCCTCGACCTGTTCGTGGACGACCTCAGGCTGGAGTTGCACTACATGGGACCGGCTCATACCACCAACGACGTGGTTGTGTGGTTGCCGGAGCGGAAGCTGCTTTTCACCGGAGATCTCGCCTTCAACGGAGGAACGCCCTTTGTAGCCATGGGCTCCATAGCCGGTTCTCTGGTCGCCCTCGACCGCCTGCGGGAATTCGGAGCTGAAATTGTGGTCCCCGGGCATGGGCCGGTGTGCGGCCCGGAGGTGTTCGACGACATGGAGGCATACCTGCGTTTCGTGCAGGACAGGGCCAAGCAGACCTACGCTGCCGGACTTGCACCTTTGCAGGCCGCTGAACAGACCTCCCTGGAGCGGTTCCAGCACTGGCACGACTCCGAGCGCATCGCTGGAAACCTGCACCGCGCCTACTCGGAACTGCGCGGCGACCCTCTTGGGACGGTACTGGACCTTGGCCCCATAGCCCAGGACATGGTTGCATACAACGGTGGGCAACCCGTCCGCTGCCTGGCCTGATGTACGGGAGACATCCACGGCGTCCGGCGCGACGTAGTAAAATACGCGGGACGAAATGCCCGCAGGCAAATTGATCCACGGACCATTGAGTTGAATCGCAGAATCAATTTCCGTTTACCTCCGGGAATCATGCTGGCCGTTTTCGGCCTCATCATTCTGACTGTCGTTTCGCTGGCTGCCTGCGGCGGAGAATCGCAAGAACCGGCCACATCGAGCCAGGCGGTCACAGAGGAACCATCGGCCGCAGTGGCAACCGAACAAACTGCGACCGAAGCTCCTGTGGCGACGGTCGCTCCTGAGCCAACCGAGGCTCCGACGGACAACGGGACTGATACTTCCACCGCTCCCGGGAGCACCGAAGCTCCGCCTACCGAAAGGCAGCCCACGAATACGCCAACTCCTCCGGCCACCGAGGCCCCAGCCGCTCCGACGGAAGCGGCAGCGACGGAGGAGCCAACGAGCGTGCCACCCACACCGGAGCCGGAACCAACCAGTCCGCCAGCGACCGAGGTTACATCCATCGCGACGCCAGAGGCAACCGAGGCTCCGGCGATTGCGCCGACTCCCACTGCCACGGCAGTGCCTGAGCCTACAGCAACCGCCGCACCCGCTCCGGCACCCACGGCGGCGCCAACACCGACGCCGGAACCACCGGAAAACGCAGCTCCGCTGTTCACCCTGCCCAACGCTTCAACAGGAGAGCAGATCAGCCTGGAGTCCTATCGCGGGGACCGGTCCGTCGTCCTGGTGTTCTACCGGGGATTCTGGTGACACTATTGCGTTCAGCAGCTCGGGCAGCTGCGAGGGGCATTCGATAAGTTCGCGGATTTGAACGCTGAGGTACTCACCATCGCTGTTGACGACTTCTCAAGTCCCAGTCTGGCGACGAGGGCCCAGGGCTATCCGTTCCCTGTCCTGTACAACGTAGAGGGGGATGTCGCAAGAGCTTACGGGATATACAACCAGTCAGCTGGTTACGCGAACCCGGCCGTTTTTGTGGTGGACAGCAACGGCTCCATCGTCTGGGAGGACAAAGGCTCCGTTACACACAGAACTCCAATAAGCGACATCATCGCAGAGTTGGAAAAGCTGACTTAATCCAGGCAGGTCTCTCCGTGGACTTGCCGCAACAGGATAATCGATGCTCGGAAGATATTTAACGCACGCATGGGGACTGGCCGGATTGGTAGCACTGTCCTTGGCGCTGCTGGCGATGGCAGCCTGCGGAACATCCGCGGAGCCAACGGAGGAAGCCCCGGCGGCGACCACCGCACCAGCGGGGTCCGAGACAAGCGAGACCGCGTCTGACACAACTGCGGCAGAGCCGGAGGGGGACATCGCGCCCAAGTTCCAACTGCCCAGTGGTACCGGCGGGTCCATCAGCCTCGCCTCATTTGCCGGGGACAAGAACGTGGTGCTGGTGTTCTACCGGGGATTCTGGTGAACCTATTGCCGGGGGCAGCTCGGTGAGCTGCAGAACGATTACTCAGCCATCTCAGGCCTGAATGCCGAACTACTGGCCGTTAGCATAGATGACCTTTCACAAGCAGCCCACGCCGTGGAACAACTGGGACTGGAGTTCCCGGTTTTGTACGACGAGTCCGGCGATGTCGTCAGATCATATGACGTGTTCAACCAGGCCACCGGCTATGCGGTGCCATCGACGTTCATCATTGACACCGAGGGAGTGGTCCGGTGGGAATTCATCGGTTCCGACAGCCACCGAACCTCTACCAAGGGATATCATCGAGCAGCTGGAGCAGCTGAGCTGACAGCTAGGCGAACTGCGTTTCCACCCAGCCCTTGCCGTCGAATGGCGTCCAGAAGTGGGATGTCAGCGTGAGGTTCTGGAACTTCCACTCGCCGTTCACCCTGACGTACTCTTCGTCGTAGCGGGCTGAACCCCACACGGCCTTCCCGCCGTCAGCATAGGTGCAGGGCTGGAACAGGTACCAGATGCCGGTTGCCCGGTCGCCGTCTACCTCGATGATCGGGTTGAGCACCATGTGGATGGCAAAGGGCAGGCGGTTCGGGGCGTTCTTGAAGAAAGCCCTGATGGCCTCCCGACCCTCGTTGCGGCCTCGCTCCCTGCCGTCCCACACGGCGTCTTCGACGAAAAGGTCGGCTAGGGCGTCGGCATCGTAGTGGTCATCGCAATAGCCGCAGTACATGTGCTTGAGGCGCTTGATCGCCTCAATGTCTTCAAGAACCTGGATTCGCTGCTCAAGGTCTCCCGATGGCATCATTCGCCTCCTGTATAGTGCTGCGGATGGCTTTACAGCGCGGTCCACCCGCCGTCGACCAGCAACAGGTGGCCAGTGGTGGCCCCGGAGGCTGGGCTGGCAAGGAAGATTGCCGCGCCAACGAGCTCCTCGGGCTGCATGCGGCGGCCCAGTGGCATTTTGTCTGCGTACTCGGCCTGTAGCTCCTCGGGGGTGCGGTTGTAGGCAGCCAGGACTCCCGGCGTCTCAGTGGGGCCGGGACCGATTGCATTGACCGTGACCCCGTACGGCGTCCACTCAGCGGCCAGAGCGCGGGTGAGGCCTAGCACGCCGTGCTTGCTGGCGATGTAGGGCGCTCGACCGGCGGAGCCGACGGCGGAGAACTGGGAGCCGATGTTGACGATGCGGCCCCAGCCCTGCTCGATCATGGGCCTGGCCGCCGCCTGGGCGCAGAAGAACAAGCCCTTGAGGTTGGTGTCAACAGTGGCGTCCCAGTCGGCCTCGGTTACCTCGAGGGCCGGCCTGGGGATGCGTATGCCTGCGTTGTTGATCAGGATGTCCAGTTGGCCATACTCTTCGACGATCCGGTCGATGGCAGGCGAAATGCTGGCGACGTCCAGCACGTCAAGCTCGTGAGTGCTGCTCCTGACGCCCAAGGCTTCCACCCGAGCCTGGGTGTCTCGGGCCAACTCGATCCGCGATGCCATATCGGATACAGCGACGTCCGCGCCGGCCTCGGCCAGCCCGACGGCCAAGGCCTCCCCGATGCCCCGCGCTGCGCCCGTGACCAGTGCGACCCTTCCCTCCAAGCTGAATCCTGAATAGGCCATCGCTCCCTCCATCGCTTTGCCCTCTGGCTGATGCGATGCCGTAGCATAGCACAGGGACGCTGGCTGCCGGAGCCGCGAGCGGCTTGCGCCGGTGCCTGCGCAGGACTAGAATCAGCCGGAATGTTCGCTCGCTGGGCGGGCATTAGGCCCAGCAAACTTTCAGGCAGGCGACTATGGCGGAAGCGGTACAGGCCTCGGGAGGACGCAGGCAGAACCGGGGATTCATTCTCGGTTCCTTGACCTTCGGCCACGGCGTGGCCCACCTGTACGACCTGGGTTTTCCAGTGTTCCTGACCGCCATCGCCAACTCTCTAGCCCTGACCACCCGGCAGACGGGGTTCCTGCTAGGCATTCGCACCAGCGGTAACGGCCTGATTAGCATGGGATCGGGAGTTCTGGTCGACCGGTTCCGGGACCAGTGGGGCCTGATGCTGACAGTCTGCATGGTGCTGAACGTCATAGCCTTCGTGGTAATTGGCCTGTCGCCCAACTGGGGCATCCTGATCATCGGGGTCATCCTGATCTCCATACCGGGATCATTGTGGCACCTGCCCGCCATCGCGTCCCTGTCTCGGCGCTTTTCAGACCGGAGAGCTTTCTCCATTTCAATTCACAGTTTCGGCTCCACGGTGGGCAATGCCTTGGGGCCGTTGGTTGCGGGCACGCTGCTGCTGTACCTCGTGTGGCGGGAGGTCCTGTTCCTGTACGCCATACCTGCTGGAGTGGTGGCGCTGTTCGTGTGGTGGTCGCTGCGGGACCTGGGCCGGGAAGATAACCTTCAGCCGGGGGACTCTGAGAGGCGCACGCTGCGGACGCTGGCGGGGGCCGGATGGACCTTCTTCCGGAATCCTGCGATGCTGGCGTTGCTGGTGGCTGCGAGCCTCCGGAGCGTAGCCAACAACGCCATGTTCGACTGGAGTCCGTTCTACCTGGAGAACTCGCCAGAGGACGGTGGACTTGGATATTCGTACTTCTGGACCGGAGTCCAGATGGCGCTGCTGACAGGGACCGGAGCGGTTTCCTCGCCCATCCTGGGCCAGCTGTCGGACAAGCTGGGCCGCAAGCAGATACTGGTGCCTGGGCTGGCGCTGGCGGCGGTCCTGCCCTTCTTTGTTATACCGGCAGGCAGCGGCTTCCTTGTGCCAGTCGTAATGGCAGCTATGGGGCTGTTCAGCTTTGCCCTCCATCAGGTGATGCTCGCCGGGATTCTGGACGCGGCAGAAAGAGGAACCGAGGCCACCGTAGCGGGCTTGGTGTTCGGAATTAACGGGGCGGTGGGATTCGCATCCACTCTCCTGGTGGCCTATATCATTGACAACCTCGGCGGCTACGGCTCAATGTACATTTACGTTGGAGTGCTGACGGCGGTCGCGGGCGTAATCGTCCTGCTGACACCGTTCCCCAACTACAGGACAGAGCCGGCCTGATACCCCTTACCAGCCATGCCTGATATTCCACGGGAAATTGCCTTGAACCAGACCATCACATCAGTCCCTGGCATCGGAGCTGGCCATTACACTGACCTCGAGAACGCCACCGGGTGCACCGTCGTGCTGTGCCGCAATGGCGCTGTTGGCGGCGTCGACGTTCGCGGCGGCTCCCCGGGCACTCGCGAGACTGATCTACTTCAGCCTTCACGGCGAGTGGACCAACTCTTTCGCGGTATCGCTCAGTGGAGGCAGTGCCTTCGGCCTTGATGCAGCAACAGGCGTAATGGCGTGGTTGGAGGAGCACGACATCGGCTACCGCGTGACGCCCGACGTGATAGTACCGATAGTATCGTCGGCCATCATATACGACCTGGGTCTCGTCACCTCGAAGGTGCGTCCTGGACCCCTGCAGGGGCGCGCCGCCTGTGATGCCGCGTTACAAACGCCCTTGCAGGAGGGAACTATCGGGGCGGGAACCGGAGCAACCGTGGCGAAGACCGGGGGAACGCATCGCGCCTGCAAGGGGGGGCTGGGCACCGCCTCTATACAGCTGCCCGGCGGTGCGACAGTGGGAGCAGTGGTGGTAGTGAACTCAATCGGAGGGATCCGGGACCCCTTCACAGGCCAACTTGTGGCAGGGCCAAGACGACAGGACGGGAGCTTCGACGACCCAGTCGGAATCCTGCTGGAGGGGCCTCCGCCGCCGATGCCGACCGGCCCCGTTAATACCACCATCGGCGTAGTGGCGACCGATGCCCGGCTCACCCGCGAGGAGGCCAACTACATGGCCCGGGTGAGCCACAACGGCTTATCGATGACCATCCATCCCTGCCACACCATCAGGGACGGCGACACCATGTTCGCAATGGCCACCGGTGAGTTCCAGGACGAAGTTGACCTGACCACGCTGGGAGCCGCAGCCGCGGTGGTATCGGCCCGTGCCATTCTGCGGGCAGTGCGGCTGGCCACCGGGCTTGGCGGCATTCCGGCGGTGTCCGAGATATCAGTCGGGTAGCTGGCAGGGCTGGAGCGCGTCCATGCGGGTTGTGAGTTCGAAAGATGAGATGCGCCGGGCGTGCCGCGAGTCGTCCCGCCCTCTAAGCTTGGTGCCGACCATGGGGGCCCTGCACGACGGGCACCTTTCGCTGGTCGACCGGGCCCGGAGCGACTCGTCCACCGTCGCGGTCAGCATCTTCGTCAACCCCACTCAGTTCGGCGAGGGCGAGGACTTCACGGAGTATCCCCGTGACCTGGATGCCGACCTGGAGTTGCTGCAGAGACATGGCACGGACCTGGTGTTCGTTCCTGATGTTGCCGAGGTGTACCCGCCGGGGTTTGATACCTGGGTGGACGTTGGGCCGATTGCTGACCGGCTCGAGGGAGCGGCACGGCCGGGCCACTTTCGGGGCGTGGCGACTGTGGTGGCCAAACTCTTTGGGATAGTGCAGCCGGATCGCGCCTACTTCGGGCAGAAGGACGGGCAGCAGACTGTAGTGGTCCGCAAACTGGCGCGAGATCTGGACATGGGAATCGAAGTCGTGGTGCTGCCCACGGTGCGAGAATCGGACGGACTTGCAATGAGCAGCCGGAATGTTCGCCTGAACCCCGAGCAGCGCAACGCGGCGGCGGCGGTGTACCGGGCACTGGCTGCGGGCATGAACCTGTGGAGCAGTGGTGAAGCGGATGCATCGAAGGTACGGGATGCGGTCCGGCAGGAATTGGAGGCGGAGCCGCTGCTGGAAGTCGTAGACTACGTCAGCGTTGCGTCTCCAGACTCCCTGGAGGAACTGGACCGTGCAGGGCGGGGAGCCATGCTATCCACGGCGGTCCACCTGGGGCCGATTCGTCTGATCGACAATGTGATTATGGAATAGGGGCGCACAAAAGTGCGCCCCTTCATCGTTCACTTCGTATCCCGGATTCTCCCGGAATTGAATGATACCTAGCTGTCCATCAACTCCCGAACTGCCTCGGTGAGAGCTGGGATCACGGTCTCCCAGTCGCCAACCACGCCGTAACGAGCATCCTTGAAGATGTTGGCGTCGGCGTCCTTGTTTATGGCGACGATGCACTTGGCGCCGGAGCAGCCGGCCATGTGCTGGCTGGCGCCAGATATGGCTACGGTGATGTAGAGATCGGGAGTTATGGACTTGCCGGTCAAGCCGACCTGGTAAGAAGACGGCACCCAACCAGAGTCCACGGCCGCGCGGGATGCGCCTACAGCACCACCCAGCAGCTTTGCCAGATCCTCGAGCCCAGAGAACGGTTCAGGCCCGCCGAGTCCCCGGCCACCGGAGACGACCACGCGGGCGTCCTCCAGCTTAACTCCCTCGGACTCCTCTCTCACTGTCTCGACCACACGGGTGCGGGCCTGCGATGCATCGAGGTCCACAGGGAATGAAACCACCTGCCCCTGCCGGGACTGGTCCATCTCGGTGGGTTCGTAGGCCTTGGGGCGGATGGCCGCAATCTGTGGGGTGTGTTCGCAACTGACTACGGCAATGGCATTGCCTCCGTACACCGGACGGTTGGCCAACAGCGTCTTGCTGGCCTCATCAATCGAGACCTCGAGGCAGTCCTGAGCCAAGCCAACGCCAAGCCGGAACGCCAGACGGGGGGCCAGTTCGCGTCCGTCGTTGGTGCGCGCCATCAACACCACGCGAGGGTTCGCCTCCCGGCAAAGAGAGTCCAATGCTGCCAAGTACAAGTCCGCCTGGTATTCGGAGAGCAATGGATTGGTGACCGAATAGACCTTGTCTGCACCGTGGGCTATAGCCTGTTGCGCGGGGGCATCAACGGCGTCGCCCAACAGAGCGATTGAAAGTTCCTCGCCCAGAGAGGCGGCTACCAAGCGGCCAGCGGCCAAGAGTTCGGCGGCGGTTGAATCGAGCGCGCCTGCCGAGGTCTGTCCGATTACCAGAACACCTGTGGCGTCAGCCATTGCGGCCTCCAGTACCAATTAGCAGAAGGTGGAAGCGTGGAAACCCTCTAACAGCATTCTTTATCCAGGGGTTTCCGACGAAATAGTCCCTAGATTATCTTGGCTTCCCGCAGTTTGAGGGCCAACTGACGTCCGGCATCAGCGGCATTCTCTCCTTCCACAAACTCGCATTCCTTGTCGCTGACAGGAATGAATAGCTGTCTTAGGGTGATGCGGGCTTCAGACTGAGAGTCATCAAGGGCCAAGTCATCCTTGCTCCAGACGGTGGGCGTTTGCGAGTGGCGGCCATGATTCCGCGCAGGGTGGGGTAGCGGGGCTGGCCCAACTCATTGCTGACGGTTACGAGGGCCGGGAGGGATGCCTCCACCACCTGGAACCCGTCGGGAACGATACGCTCGATGGTGGCCTTGCCATCGGCCACATCGACCTTTTTGCCCAGCGACACGCAGGAGACACCAAGGATTTCGGCGACTCCCAACGGAACCTGGGCGTTATCCCAGTCAGATGCCTGGCGCCCACAGATTATCAAGTCAAACCCGCCCAGCTTGCGAATCGCGGCGGCCAGCAACTGGGCCGTCTGGAAGCTGTCTATGGTGTTATCGAAGGCATCGTCCTGCAGGAGGACGAGCTCATCGGCGCCCATGGGGACAGCGGCTTTTTCATCACATCGAGCGCAAAGCTGGAGCCTGTGGAAATGACCGTAACGGTGGCTTCCTGCGCGTCCTTAATCTGCAGGGCCGCCTCCACGGCGTTCTCATCGAAACCGTTCACGACGGGAGGAATATTCGCCGGCGGTACGACGCGTTTAGCGTCTCCATCTATGCGGAAGGCCGCCATAGGCATCTCGGGATCCAAGACCTGCTTGGCTAAAACAGCAATTTTCAGTGGCATACAAAAACTCCGTGCGATTATGTCGCCGGACTATGTGAAAGATATCACGAATGAAATTGGAGTGTCAATTTGGAAAGGGTGGCCCAAGGCAATCGCATCCTGATTTCCACAGTGCAACAGGCCGGATCTACGGAGACAACTTCACCGGATCGAAACTCTGAATTTTCCGTATTTCCGCTCAATTCCGCTCATTTCCTACCATTCCTGCGTTTTCGGACTAGTCGCTGGAAGTCGCTTGGGCAAGGCGAGCCCACCGGGATCCCAAGCGAGTTGCTTCTGCCGAACGTCTCATTTATAGGAACATATGTTGTATGCAAGTTGCCTAGCTTGGCAAGGGGCAAATGACAGCGAGATGAGCTTCCAGCGTTGAAGGCGTGATTGCCCTGAAATGTGCCCTCGTTATTGTCGCAACTAAAGGTTGCGAAACCAGTCGTCTTATTATTCCAGGTACCAGTCATCGCCTGCCGGAGGCCATGGGTTGTCGCCCGCGAAGACCTGGGACAGCTGGGTAAAGGTGCCCAGGAAGCCGGCGGGGTGCAGCCAGATGCTGTTGAAGCCGAGGTTGGTATAGTTTTCAGTCCGGCGGGATGTGGTGAACCTGGCGCCCTGCTCCTCGAGGTGGGTGTCCATCGCCAGCGAATCCTCGATCTCGTAAATGGTGAGATAGATGCCCTCGCCGTAACGGTCCAGGAAACGCTGCGACGGCGCATCAGGGCCCGTGGGCTGGGCCAGCTCGATGAATGTATCCCGTCCAGCGAGGGGTATGACGGCAATTTCCAAGTCGGTGAAACTGACTTCAAAGCGCTTGGTGGCCTGTAGCTGGAACATCTCGCACCATCGGTCGAGCGCGTGGTCAAGGTTGCGCACCAAGACCGCAATCTGCCGGAGGCGCAGGGTCCGCGGTGGAGGTGAAGACTGCCAGTCATCACCAGCCAGCGGCCAGGGATTATCGCTGGGTTCGAGCTCCACGACCCTCACGACAGCGCCGTTGGTAGCTGAGGAATCAAGCTCGACAGTGCGTCGGCCCGGGCGCTGCGAAATGCCGCTGTGCCTGACCCCAAGTCGTCGCAGGTTCTCCAGCAGCGCGTCGAGGTCCCTGGTCTCAAATACGAGACGGTACGGGCCCTGTCCGCGGTTCTCTCGAAATGCGCTGGACTCAGCCTCTCCCATATCGGGATGCCAGAGTTGGACAAAAGGTGCCGTCCCCGGCGTGAAGCACGGCGCGATCTCCGTCGGGAGACTGAGAGCGGTGGACAGCCTTCATACCGAGGTAACTATCGTAGAGGCTTGTCCCGTGGCCCAAGTCACCAACGATATAGTCTACCTGGCGCAGGCGATGCAACATGGCGTTCACTCAGCCGTGATCCCCGGTGTAGAACGGAATCGAGGCGGCGAATTTTTGGGTGGGCTAGTCTTTGCTGGGGAGGGCAACGATCGCCTTACCGCCGACGTGCCGCTCGCCCTGGCTGCCAAGCATCAGGATGTCGCACTCGGCCAGGTTCTGGCCGTCTTCCTGGCGGAGGTCGGTTATCGTGGCTTCGAGAAAGAGCGGAGAGTTGTGAGGGACGGGCTGGCGGAACACGACGTCCAGATCCCGCACGGAGTCAGGGCCGGCCCAGTCGGTCAGCAACTGCGCCATCATGGCCATTGCCATGATGCCGGGGACAATGGGCCCGGCCATGCCCGAGTCGAGGGCTGTCTGAACATCGGTAAACCTGTTGGGAGTAGGTGGCGACCACACGTTACAGAAGCTGGCCACGCTATCGTCGGTGGCCACAATTTCCACGGGACCGACCTGATCTCCGAGTTCCAGATCTTCGAAGTAATGCAATTTGATTCTCTTCGATGCAGTTTAGGCAATGAGGAGGTGTGCAACCCTTGCTGCGCCACCACAGGCTGTCTCACTCGCGTCGGGCGAAGGACTCCTGAACTTCCGCGACAACCTGTCCGTCCTGGTTGCGGAACGTGGTCTCCCACACAATGAAGACCATGGTGCCGGAACGCCCCGTCTTGGCATAGACATCCTTGAGGTGCGAGGACGCGGTCAGGGTGTCGCCGGCGTAGATGGGAGCGATCGGTTGCACTCGCTGTCCGGCGTGCATCTGGGTGCGCCCGAATTCGACACCCACATCGGGCAACTGCACCTCGCGCACGAAGATGGAGCACAGCGTGGGGGGAGCGATGATGCCGCGGACCCACCTTCTTTGGCGCCATCGTTCGAGGTGAAAGCAGGTCCTTTCTCCCCCAAACTGGCGTTGACTGCCTGGATCATATCGACGGTTATATCGAAGGGCCCGGCCCGATGCTCTTTTTCGTGCAACGACCGGTCGTAATTCAATTCCAGCGCCATACGGCTAACTCCGGTTCTTACAACTGTGTTCTGCTGGGACGGATAGCCCGGTCAGGCGGAGGTGACGGATGCGGTCGCCTCCAACCTTACCGGCTGAAACTCCTTGCTGAGCAGCGCGTCCACCAACTGGTGCTCGTTGGAGATGGTGGCGCGGAAGTCGGTCATGCAGGTGGCTATGTGGCTGGTGAAGTGGGCGTCGCTACCGCCGATGCCCAGAAAACCGAACTGCTGGCAGAGGTCCTCGGCGCGCTCGTTTTCGCCGGCCCGGCCGCCGCCATTCAGAATCTCGACGACGTTCACGGCGGGGAACGATTCACCCTGCTGGATGTACTCGGTAAGCCCGATGCCGAACCGTCCCGGATGGGCGGGGATCGCCACCGCATCGTGGTACCGCGCGGCCTGCATCAGTTCCCTGGCATCCATTCGGACGTCGGAGAAATCCATTTCTCCGGTCAGCCCTTCGCTCACACCGTACACAAGGAAGTGGCCGAAACGCGTATCCAATTCTGAGCCCTTCAGAATCAGTAGATCGTACTGCTGGGCCAGCTCGGAATAGTCTTTGTCGAAATCGAACTTACGATGCTCGGTCAGGACGATCCCGTCGACCACATAGTTTCTCTTACGAAGCACCTGCACCCATTTCACGTATTGCTCCACCGTAGCGCGGGAGTCATCAGAGGAAACGGAATGGCAATGCAGGTCAAGAAACACGTCGAACAAACTCCTGACAAGACCACAGAAATGATAAGCGGCCTCGCCGACTATCATAAACAACGATACACAATCCGGCAACCGCCCAGCGGATTCTGACAGCGTTCATATCGCCGTCTGATTCCGGCGATGGGGCTTCCCCTTAACCATCATCGGAGCTCTGCCGTGGACTCCGGGCCGCCGCGAGGGGCGGTCGGAGGTGGAGGGGCGCAATCGCAATTCGGGTTAGTGCCAAAAGAGGGGATGGAATGTGTGCAATTCTGTAAATTTTTGTGCAGGTTTTTACTTGCCGGGAGTTCGGCCCCGGCCCCGATCAGGTCGAGGGCATTTCCTGCTACGACGTGATGGGTGCCGGGATTTAGGTTGCGGTAGTGACCCATGGATGCATCGGGTGCATCGGTCGGGGTGTTGGAATAACGAGTCTACGGATCCGCCGTATTTGATGGTAATGGGGTGTCATGAGGCTTGGCAAGGGGCTTCTGTCAGTAGAAAGAGATATGGAGGGGAGATTGGGCATACGCGACCCAGAGGTGGGGCTCTCGAATGGGACGATGTGTGAGTTGGTGTCGAGCTTGTTCGTCGGGGCTGATGGAGCCGTAGCGGGAGGACCTGCGGACCTGTAAGCCGGGTTCTGTATCCCGAAAGAATCGGGATGGTGACCATCTATCTAGCCTCCCGACTTGCGTCGGAACCCGCGGGGCGGGACGGCGTTACCGCCGTGGTCAAGCAGCCAACCCGGGGACGAGCCGGACGCTCATAGTCCCTCTATTTGGCCTTGCTCCAGGTGGGGTTTGACCGCCGGTGTGTCGCCACAGCCGACCGGGCGCTCTTACCGCCCGATTTCACCCTTACCCCGATGTCGAGACACCGGGGCGGTATGTTTCTGTGCCACTTTCCGTCTTCCGCGCCGGACTGATCCATTGCGAAAGCCTGGGGGTTACCCAGCACCCTGCCCGGTGGAGCCCGGACTTTCCTCCCCGACAACCGTCTCCGACGCCAGGGCGGTCACCCGGTCCGCTTGGGCCTCCTCAGCCAATCTAGCACGTCCGGCATGAGTGGTCAAACCGCGGCTTGCACAAGAAAAAGGGACCTACAGGGCGGTTGTCAAAATAACAAAAGGCACCGCATTCACGGTACCTTCAGCATTCCAGATTGATCAGACTGGCTATTCGACGAAGAGCATTCGGCCGCAACTGCTGCAATTCACTGCCTGGCGGCCGCTCTTTACGCGCTGCCGCAGCTGGGTGGGCAGGGACATACGGCAGCCCTGGCAGAGGTCGCGCTCCACCTTGGCGACTGCCCGTCCTCCCTTGGACTTGCGCAGCGTCTCGTAGCGCTGGAGGGTCGCCGGGTCGAACCTGGATGCCAGTAACTCCCGCTGCTGTTCGAACTCGTTCTGCTCCGCCCGCAAGTCTGCGACCCGACGGTTCAACTCGCCCTGCTGAACTTCCCATCGAGACCTCGTTTCCACGAGCTGCTGGTTGAGATTGCCACAGCGGGACCGGGCTTCTTCAACCTGCAGGGACAGTTCAATGGATAGCGCCTCGTCCTGTTCGAGCAGGTGTCTGACATTAGAGGCCTCGATTTGCAGTGCCTCTAGGTCTCGGGCGTTAATCATCGATCCGTCGTAGAGCTGTGTTTCCAGGGTTTCCGTGCGTTCGCGGCGAGTCTCTATATCAATCTGGTTGTCCCGTTGCCGCAACTCCACATCCTGCAATCTTTCCTGCTCTTCCTGGAAAGCGTTCTCCAAGTTCTCGATGGAAACCTCGATCTTCAGTTCCTCCTCCGCCTCCTCCAAAGCGCGATACACCCTGTCGAGGTCGAGGTCCACTTCCTGCAATGCATATAGCTGTTTTACAGTCGTCATCCGCTGCTGACCTGTCCCATCTTCAATACCAAAGCCTTTCGATTCTAGGAACGCCGCCTGCCGTTGTCAAATTGGGAGGCAGGATGACAACGCAATGGCCGGCGGGTAGAATCATCGGGTATTCGTGCAGAAATCATGAAAAATGAGCCTGCGATAAACCCGAGTGGAGAGGAGGCCGCCGATGGTTCTTTCCAAGCTGGACAATGAAACACTGACCCTTGTAGGGGCAGGCACCCCGATGGGTGAGACCATGCGCCGATACTGGCTGCCTGCCCTGCTGTGTGACGAATTGCCTGAACCAGACTGCCCGCCGATACGGCTGCGGCTGCTGGGCGAGGACCTCGTCGCCTTTCGCAACACCTCCGGACAGGTAGGGCTGCTGGAGGAGTTTTGCCCCCACCGGCGCACCTCGCTTTTCCTAGGCCGCAACGAAGAGGACGGGTTGCGCTGCGTCTACCATGGCTGGAAGTTCGACGTGGCGGGCAACTGCCTGCACATGATGAACGAGCCGGAGGACAGCGACTACCACACCAAGGTCAAGGCCATTTCCTATCCCGTGGTGGAGATGGGCGGCGTGGTCTGGGCTTACATGGGCCCCTCGGACAGGCAGCCGCCGTTGCCGCGGTTCGAGTGGACGCAGGTGCCGGACAGTCACCGGCTGATCACCAAGAACCGGCAGGAGTGCAATTGGCTGCAGGGGCTGGAGGGCGGCATTGACACGGCCCACGCTCCCATTCTGCATCGCCGTATTACGAAGAACACTACGCGACCCGGCTTTGGTGTCGATACGGCCTTCGTTACCGGCAAGGCGCCGAAGGTGGAGGTCGATCGGGCGGACTATGGCTACCGCTATGCGGGCGTCCGAGAGTTGGAGGACCAGGGCCATAACTTTGTCCGGGCCTATCACTACGTCCTGCCCTTCCACCAGATGCGCCCGTCCCAATTCGGACTCCAGGGGCAGGAGCCCCGCACCCTGATCGCAGGGCATTGCTGGGTCCCAACCGATGATGAGAACACGATGGTTTTCAACTGGATGTACAGCTTCGGCGAGGAACCTCTGAACGAGGCCGACCGCGACCTGGAGCGACAGTTGGGACGCGGGCCCGAGGATCTGGACGCCAACTACCGGGCCAAGCGCAACCGGGACAACGACTGGATGATCGACCGAAAGGTTCAAAAGTATGAGACCTTCACCGGAATCGAGGGCATCAACACCCAGGACCAAGCGGTGCAGGAGAGCATGGGAGGCATTGTAGACCGCAGCACTGAGAACCTGGCGAACAGCGACATGGCCATCGTTGTTGCCCGCCGAATGCTTCTCGGGGCGACCGAAACGGTGGCGGACGGCGGCGACCCGCCCGGCTTGTCCGAAAGCTACTACAAGCTACGGGCAATAGACAGCGTGCTGCCTGTGGACGCCGTATGGCAGGATGCACTGGCTGACCAGATGTACCCGCACTAGCCGACAATCAAGACCGCGGGAACCAGAAAAGGCGGGACCCTTATCGGGGTCCCGCCATTCTCATTTCATGGTCTGGTCGCCAGACAAGACCAAACAGATTGCACTCGGTCAGGCGACTGCGCTTGGGCGGCGGGTATGCCAGTCGGTGGCCTGCTCGTAGGCGTGGCCGATGCGGAAGAGGGTCTCCTCGGAGAACGGCTTGCCACCAATCTGCAGCCCCACGGGCATGCCGCGGTCGTCGAAACCGCAGGGGACGGACATGGCGGGGCAACTGGCGAGGTTGAACAAGCGGGTGAACAAGAAAGGCAACCGAGACGACGTCTCCTTGCTGGTTACGGGTGGATCGTCCTCGACGGATTGGGCTCCTCTGCCGGCGGTGGGGAAGACCAGGGCGTCGTAGCTGCCCAGCGCATCGATTACCTGGCGGCGGATCAACTCCCTTATTTTCTGGGCTTTGTTGTAGTACCGGGCGGGGATCACGCTACCGGTCAACAACAGGATGCGGTCATCGTGGCCGTAGTCGTCGATATTCTCGTGAACCCACTTGGCGTGGTTGTTTGCAGGCTCCACAGCTAAAAGCGTTCCGGAAATCGGCCCGGCCACTGCTGAGAGGGGCAGCGAAACTTCCTCGACCGTAGCACCCAGTTCCGCGAGACCGGTGATGGCGCGCTGGACCGCACTGCGTACGTCGGCATCTACAAGCTCGGACTCCATCTGTTCGGTGACCACGCCTATCCTTAGGCCTTCAATTCCCTGACCCAGCGCCGCTCGGTAGTCCGGCACTGGAGCGGTCGACATATGGCCGTCTCTGGGGTCATGGCCTGCAATGGCTCCCAGGGTGATGGCGGCGTCCTCGACCGTGCGGGAAATGGGACCGACGGTGTCCATAGACCAGACGCCCCGCATCACGCCATAGCGGCTGACCAGTCCCCAAGTGGGACGCAGTCCCACAAGGCCACACCAAGTGGCAGGGAAGCGGATGGAGCCGCCGGTATCTTCACCCAGAGACGTGGCGCAGAGATAGGCGCCTGTTGCCGCACCGGAACCACTGCTGGAGCCGCCGGCGTAGGTGTTCAGGTCCCAGGGATTCCGTGGGGTGCTGTAGCGATGGGAGAATCCAGTGATGGCAAACTCAGTCAGGTTGGTCTTGCCGAGCAGCACGGCACCCGCCTGCTTGAGGTTGGCGATGACGGTGGCGTCCTCGTCCGGGACATAGTCCACGAGAATCCGGGAACCACCAGTGGAGCGGACTCCGGCGCTGAGGAACTGGTCCTTCACTGCCACCGGCACGCCGTGCATCGGGCCGCGGTGGTGGCCTGACGCAATTTCCCGCTCGGCCTCACGGGCTGCGTCCATGGCCATTTCGCGGGTGACGGTCAGGTAGGCGTTGAACTTGAAAGTCGAGATCGTCGATTCGATCAAGGTACGCCTCCGCAGCGTCGACGGGCGAAATCTCACGCGACGCGATGCGCCTGGAAAGCTCAGCCGCAGACAGAAAGGAAGCTCGGACTTGTCCATCAGACCCTCCGAGTTGACGGGATCGGGGACCGGAAAGAACCGGCTTCCTATGCCGGGGGAAGGATAATGGGCAGCGGCTCCACTGCCTCGAGGCCGGGCGGGTTGATGGCGTCCAGAGACTCCAGGAGCGCGTTCAAGCTGTACATGACTTCGGTCAGCTCAGGCTCCTGGATATTCAAACCCACGGCCCGGCCCAGTGCCTGTATATCCTCTTTCGACAAATCGGCCATGATTGCCTCCCTTTTTCTGCCTTTTGAGGTGGCAACATACTGCGGGATAACCTACGGTCAGTCAAGGTATACAACGCGTCATCCCCGTGACGGATTTTGGGGTATACTGGCCTCGCCCCGGCTGAATCTCCAGAGCCAGGGTCATTTATGGATCAAGGTGAGTCGGCTATGGCGAATCTCAAGGAACTCAAGGTAGACATAGGGGCCGAATCTTCGTTCACCAAGCTGCCGGCGACGGTCGAAATCGGCGACTGGTCATACTTTCTGGCAAAGAGCAAGAAGGGGGCCTACCAGTTGCTTTCGAACGTGTGCCCGCACCAGATGGGCGAAGTGGTGGACTGGGGTGGCGTATTCATGTGTCCCGACCACGGCTGGCGCTTCGAAAAGACCGAAGGTGTCTGCATCAACGGGCCGAACTCGCGCATGACCGCTTTCCCGGTCAACGTGGAGGCCGGACGGCTGATCGCTACGGTGCCAGACGACTAGGCAGCGATGGCTTCCCCCGCTCCAACCCTCCCTGCTCAGGGAGGGTTGGTTTTACTTTCATTGTTCTGAATCATAACGCGCAGGGCCAAGAGGTTGTCATGGAACGGAACGAGATACCTTTCCTCAGCGCGTCGGACCTGGCCCGGCTCATCGAATCACGGCAGGTGTCGCCGGTGGAGGCGACCGAGGCCTACCTGGACCGCATCGATTCAGTGGACGGCCAGCTCAACTCCTACATTGCAGTCCTCAAAGACCACGCCCGGGAATCGGCCAAGCAGGCGGAGGCGGAGATCGCGTCTGGCAACTATCGCGGGCCGCTGCACGGCCTGCCGGTGGCGGTGAAAGACCAGTTCTACACCGCGGGGATGGTGACGACGGGCGGTTCGTCGATACTGCGCGACTTCGTGCCGGACGAGGACAGCACGGTGATGGCCAGGCTGAAGGATGCCGGAGCGGTGCTGCTGGGCAAGCTCAACATGAGCGAGTTCGCCATGGCCGACATCTACAACCACCCGTACGGCACGCCGCGCAATCCCTGGGACACCACGCGCAACCCCGGCACTTCCAGCAGCGGGTCCGGAGCGGCAACCGCGGCGTTCCTGTGCGCCACCTCGCTGGGCGAGGACACCGGTGGTTCCATCCGCAGCCCAGCCAACTTTAGCGGTCTGGTGGGGTTGCGCCCGACGTATGGACGGGGTGAGCCGCCATGGAGTAATGGGCGGCTCGTGGTCGATGGACACCGTAGGCCCCATCTCGCGGTCCGTAGAGGACGCTGCAATCACGTTCCAGGCCATCGCGGGCCACGACCCGAAGGACCAGTACACCTGGGACGTTCCGGTGCCCGACTACCGGGCAGCACTGACCGGCGATATCAGCGGGCTGCGGGTGGGTATGCTTGCGGAGCGGATGGACGCGCCCAACCTAGACCCTGAGATGCGGTCTGCCGTAACTTCCGCCATCGGCACTCTGGGGGAGCTGGGGGCTGATGCACGGGAGGTATCGGTCCCGCTGGCGCCGTCGGCCGGGGCGCTGAGCATGACCATCATCGGCGTCGAATGGGCAAACCTGCACCGGCAAACCTTCGAGCCGAACTTCGAACAGCTCGACCGGAACAACCAGATCAGGTTCCTGACTGGCCTCGTCATACCGGCCCAGGCTTACAGCAAGGCCCAGAAGCTGCGCACGATGCTCAGGCAGCAGGTGCTGGCCGCGCTGGAAGAGGTGGACGTACTGGTCCTGCCCTCCGGAGTCGGGCCTGCCCCGCCGGTGGAGAGCGTGCCGGGGGTGACGAGCAAGGAGATGGCGCTGGCCGGCCTGAATGCTCGCATCAGCTTCACTGGGCCGTTCAACCTGGCGAATGTACCCGCGATTTCGGTGCCCTGCGGGTTCACCGAGTCCGGGCTGCCCCTGGGGCTGCAGATCGTAGGCAAGCCGTTCGCCGAGGAGACGCTGTTCCGGGTGGCACACGCCTACGAACAGGCGACGGACTGGCATACACGGCGCCCGCCGATTTAGCGCCTCTTCTCACCCCACGTACGCGGTTCGAGGAGCAGGCCTTGGCGGGCTGAACGGTTCCACTGCTGGTCCGGCCCTTTCCAACAGACTAACTGGCAATCTAACCCTGACACAGTCGTCTCTTCAGGAGGTGCATTATGTCCATGGCCGACGACATTGGAGTGATGGAGGCTATTTACAGCCAGCGCCAGATCACGCGCTATCGCCGCGACCCCGTCTCCCGGGAGGACATTGAGAAGATCATTGACGCGGCAATACGCGCTCCCAGCGGGGGGAATACGCAACCGTGGCACTTCATCGCCATCACCGAACGGGACCTCATTGAGAAGATCGGTGGACTGTACCGGGATATCTGGCTGGGAGCCCAGGGGGCGGAGCCAGGACCCAATGAGCCCCCGGCGTACCAGCAGGCCCGGCACCTGGCCAACCGAATGCCTGAGGTTCCGGCGATGATTCTTGTCTGCGTCGACCACTCCAAGGGCTCGGCTCCGTATACGCCGGGTCAGCCCGTAGAGCGGGGGCGCTATGCGTCTTCGGTCTGGCTGGCTATCCAGAACCTGTTCCTGGCCGCCCCGGGCCCTTGGGCTGGGCACGCGGATTACGACAGTACACATTCGGGGCGAGGAGCAGATCAAGGATTGGCTGGGCATCCCGGAACACGTGGAGACGGTGTGCCTGACGCCGCTGGGGTATCCTCGGGGCAGCTTCGGGCCAACTCAGCGGACACCTGCCGAGGAAGTCAGCTCCTTCAACCGGTATGGGAGCCGCTAGCAGTCCTGACGATTCGGGGCGCGCAGCCCCTCGTCCCCCTGGTTGCCCTGCAATAGAGAAGCCCCCGGTCGCTGGACCGGGGGCTTGGTTTTGCAGTGCCTGTGGATGACCGGGTCAGGCGTTGGTGGTGATGGGCATCTCTTTGATGGAGCGGAAGGTGATGCTGGATTCGTACTCCATCTCATCACGAACCAGTTCCATGTCGGGGTAGCGCTCAGCCAGTTCGCGGAAGACTTCCTGACCTTCCACGCGGGCGATGGTGGCCCCGAGGCAGTGGTGAATGCCGGCACCGAATGCCACATGCGGGTTGGGCCAGCGCATGATGTCCATTTCGTCGGGCCGCTCGAACTTGTTGGGGTCGCGATTGGCCGACGTGATGAACCAGCGGATGCGGTCCTTTTCCCGGATCAGCTTGTCCCGCATCTCGATGTCCTGCGAGGCGAGGCGCTGGATGGACTTGACCGGAGCGTCGTAGCGCAGGCATTCCTCGGTGGCCCTGACCATCATGCCCTGGGGGTCTTCCCTCAGGATGTCCCACTGGTCGCGGTTGCGCATGAAGGACAGGGTGCCATTGCAGATCAGGTTGATGGTGGTCTCGTGTCCTGCCAGCAGCAGCAGCGAGGTGTTGACCAGCGCCTGCTCGCGGGTGAATACGCCAGCCTTCTCGCCGCCAGCCAGAACGGAGATGAAGTCGTCGCCGGGCTTGACGAGTCGCTCTTCAATCATGGGGTTGACGTATTCGAGCATCTCCTCCATGCCTTCCACCAGCCTGGGCAGACGGTCGGCCTCGCCGCGGGCGATGTTGAGGAGCTTCTCGGCGATGGCGCGGATGTACGGGCGCTCTGCCTTCGGTACGCCCATCATCTCGGCGATGACCAACACCGGAAGAGGCGTGGCCAGGTCGCGCATCATGTCGAAGTCGTCTTTCTGATCGGCCTCGTCCAAGAGCTCGTTGATGGCGTTCTGTACCAGGGGCGCCATTCCTCCATGGACTTCGGAGTGAAAGTAGGCGTGCACTACCTTCCGCATCTCGAGGTGGTCGGGGCGGTCGTACTGAATGAACTGCTTTCCCTGGTAGTTGCGAACGAACTCGTACAGCTCGTTGTCGGACTCGTTGACGGCGGGATAGGGGCCGCGCGGGTCGTTGAGCCAGACGGTGCTGGAAAACAGCTCGTGATTGCGGGTCAGCCAGACCAGATCATCGTGGCGGGTGACGACCCAGAGCTCGTACAGCTCGTTCCAGTGCACCGGGTCTTCTTCCCGAAGCTGACCATAATAGGTATAGGGATCGTACATGATTTCGGGGGCAAACATGTTTTCGTTGATGGTTGTTACCATATCCTCACCAACTTAGCTTGGAGTTAACCAACTCTAATTGGAATCGAAATAACTTGTCAAGTTAATAACGATCATTACTCCGGGTTTTCGCGCCTTGATTTCAGCAGAGCAGCAGTTCAGATTTGCGGAGCCGGTTTTGCCGGTTTGAAGGAGCTGAATTTTTCGCTTTTCCGCTCATGTCCACTCATTTCCACCCATTTCCCAACTTCCCTGGCTGGCCCCCAGGGCCCAAGCGGGCCCGCCGGGTTAGCAAGATATTGGTGTTTGCCGTCTACTTTATTTATAGAACATATGTTATAGGATACTTACGGGTCTTGGCAAGGGTCAAGTGGCAGCAGGGATGAGATTGCAGCGTTGAATATACGACTGCCATGCCCGCTCTTTCACGGCCTCGCAAGGGGCAGTGTCGCCAAGGCAATCGCGTCTTATTACTCAGCACACAAAATTGGTCTGAATGTCGATGTAGATGGGAGTGGCAGTGCCTCCTTCGGTTTCGGGTGCGAGGATAGGCGGGGGTTTGGATTCCCGCCTGCGCGGGAATGACGACTCATAGGGCCTCCGGCGTTTAAGACGCGATTGCCCTGGCAGTACCGCACCACTTTGTCAAACCTAGCTGCGTAATTCATAATGGGCCAATCTGCCTGGCTGCCAGGGCCGGGCCTCACGGGAGATTGCAATGCGAATCCTGCTCGTCGCCACCAACCGGCACGACCGGCTGAACAGCCGCATGAATGCCCAGCCCATGCCTATCGGCCTCGCGTACATCGCTGGCCATCTTGACCACGATCGCCACGAGGTGAAGGTTATCGACCTGATGTTCGCCGAGGACTACCTGACCGAGATTGAGAACATCGTCAAGGACTTTCAGCCGCATGTCGTTGGCGTATCACTGCGAAACCTCAGCAACCACAGCTACCTTAATACGCAGTGGGCGCTGCCCATCACCAAGGACGTGATTGACCGCATTCGGGATCACAGCGAAGCGACTATCATTGTCGGCGGGCCGGCTTTCAGCCTGCTGCCCAAGCAGTGCTACGAATTCCTGAACCCTGATATCGGCGTGGCCGGGGATGCTGGTGAAACGTTTGCCGAGGTGTGTGAGCGGATAGAGATCGGCGAGCTTTCGGCGTACGACCTGCCCGGGATGGTCTACTCGAAGGATGGCGAGGTGGTGCTGAACGAGGGGCTGTGCGTATCGGCATTCGCCAGCCGGCCCCGGCTGGACGACCTGGAGATGGACAAGTACCGGACCGCCGGGTTCGGGATCGGGGTGTTGACCAAGCTGGGCAGCTTCTCGTATCCTACGCCCTCCTCCACCGCGGGAATGAGCGAGGCGGACTTCCGGGTCATCAGGCCCATCGACGAGGTGGTTGCCGAGGTCAAGGACCTATGGGAGCAATACCAGCTCCGCAAGGTCTTCTTTGTGGACAACGGGTTCAACTTCCCACTGGATCACGCCAAGTCGCTGTGCAGCGCGATCATCGAGGCAGACCTTGGGATTCGCTGGAACACATGCCTGGCCTCATTCAACGTCGATACCGAGTTGGTACGCCTGATGCGGGACGCTGGGTGCGCGCTGGTGTTGATGGGAAACCGGGGCGGCGATCTGCACGACGGCACCGGCTCGCTGGAAGAGCATATGGCTGCCCAGTTGGAGGTACCGAAGCTGTGCGAGGAGGGAGGGCTGCATTACACCATCGCCCGCACCTTTGGCGAGCCTGGGGAGACGCGGGAGACGGTGGAGCACAAGCTGGACTTCCTGCGGCGCATCAATCCTGCACTGGCCAACCTGCGGGTCGGCGTGAGCGTGATGCCGGGCACCGACGTGGCGACAAGAGCCATCGAAGAGGGGCTGATCTCGGACGAGAGCGAGCTGATCGAGCCGACCTTCTATATCGCCGAAGAAGTTCGGGACTGGATCGTCCCCTACCTTCAGGAGCAGGCGGAGGGCAACCCACGCTGGAACCTGTGGTAGTCGCACTGGGCTGAATCAGCGAAAACGCCGGGGCTTGCACAATGCGGGCCCCGGCTTTCTTTTTGGGTGGCACTTCTTCGCTCCCTCAGGGTGAGAAACCCGGGGGAGTTTGCAAAAGCAAACATGGGAGATTGATTGGAGGCCCTAAATTCATGCGTTCGTGGGTAAGACGATTCAAGGGGGTGCTGTGATCGGGGGCAGGAATAGCGGGCCGAGGTGGGTCACCACCTGTTGAGGGTGGGCTGTGACTGCCGCGTTACTAGAATGAAGAGTTCGTGTTGTATTAAGGGAGCGGGTTAAGCAACCGACTGTTGCGACAGTCCCGGCAATGATGCAGCGGTTGTGAGCTGTGGATGCTAACCCCGACCGTACGTAAGCCTCACCAGAGTCTATGGTTTTCGGGTGAACGGCAGGTTGGCAATCGTCGTTCCGTTGAAGACGGGGCTCCAACGCAAGCCCTCCCCTGGAGGGGAATCGTCATCCGTGACTTAAGCTTGCTGGGTGTCGGCGGCGACGGCGGTTTCCATGGCTCGTATGGCGACCTCGATCTGCTCGTCGTCAGGTTCGCGGGTGGTCAGGCGCTGCAACCACAGGCCGGGAGTGGCGATAGCCTTTCCGATGATGGCGGTCTGGTGCCGGCCGCTGAACCGTATGACCTCGTAGCTGACGGCGGCAATGACCGGCAGGAGCAAGATGCGGGACGCGATACGCCACCACCACGAATACTCCAACAGAGCGAAAGCGATAAACACGGCCACCGATACCACAACCACCGTGAGAAGGAATGCGGTGCCGCAGCGTGGATGAGGTGTGCCGAACTTACGCACGTTGTCGACGTTGAGGGGCAGGCCGGCCTCGTATGCGTGGACGGTCATGTGCTCAGCGCCGTGGTAGGCGTAGACCCGCCGGATGTCGCGCATGGTGCCGATCACCGCCACGTATCCCACGAGGATCGCCAGCCGGAGGAGGCCCTCAATGGCCTCGCTGATCAGGCCGCTGCCAATCATCGGCTCCAAAACGCGAACCACGCCAAGGGGCAACAGGAAGAACAGCGCGATTCCGAATACCAGCGAGAAGGCCAAGGTGGCACCCATCATCCAGCCGGGAATGCCCTCGGCACTGGCGCCCTTTTCACTGGCCGGAGTCGCGGCGAGGTCGGCAGAGATCTGCAACGACTTAATGCCCAGAATCAGAGTTTCGAGGAGGGTGAGCACGCCTCGAGCGAGGGGCATGCGCCGGAGGCGTCCGTTGTATATGGGGCTAAGACGTTCCTGCAGGTCCTCGATGCTTCCGTCGTCGCGTCGGACCGCGAGACTGTAGTGGTCCCGGCCCCGGATCATTACGCCTTCGATTACGGCCTGGGCCACCGTACAGATGTACTGGCTGGTTCGCCAAGAAAACGCCTCGAACAAGGATGTGGCAGATGTCGGTGGGTCTGCCCGCAGGTGGTCTGAGCACGGAGACAGGTCAAAAATAAAATCGAGGGCCGCGGCCCTCGATTTCGATGGATTTCGCCCTACCGGCGGTTGAATCGCCGGTTGAATCTTTCAATACGTCCCTGGGTGTCCACGATGCGCTGCTCACCTGTATAGAACGGGTGGCAATTGCTGCAGATTTCAACCCTGAGCTGCGGCTTTGTGGCGCCAGTCTGGAAGGTGTGCCCGCAGGCGCAGGTCACGGTTGCGTTGAAAAAGCGGGGATGAATATCGGTCTTCATGCCGGAAGTCCTTTTTGATTATTCGTAGAGAGGTCGGATCAGGCTTGGTTCAGCGGGTAGACGCTGACGCGGCGGCGGCCCTTGGCGGCCCATTCATACTTGACCTCGCCATCGGTCATGGCGAAGAGGGTGTAGTCACGGCCCAAGCCGACGTTGGTGCCGGGGCGGATGCGGGTACCGCGCTGGCGCACCAGAATAGAGCCCCCAGTTACACGCTGACCACCGTAGCACTTCACGCCAAGCCGCTTTGGGTTGCTGTCTCGCCCGTTGTTAGTGCTGCCGCCTGCTTTCTTATGAGCCATGTCTATTCCGCCTGCCATGCCCACAGGCGCCCGTTGCGGCGCTAGGGGGTGAGAATGTCCTGGATCTCCAAACGGGTGTAGGACTGGCGATGGCCGCGCTTCCGGCGATAGCGGGTTTTGGCCTTGTACTTGAAGACCATCAGCTTCTTGTCCTTGTAATGCGACTTAATCTGGGCGACGACCTTGGCCCCTTCAACGTTAGGGGCGCCGACCACCAGTTCGCCATCCTTGGACACAGCTAATACCTGATCAAACTCCGCCACCGATTCGACATCGTTAGGCAGGAGCTCCACGTCCAGCGTATCGCCGGGCTGGACCCGGTACTGCTTTCCACCTGTTTTAAAAACCGCGTAATCCATAAAACCTCGGATTTTTTTATACTAGGGCAGGGCGCCACAACTGTCAACCGAATTCGACGCCGCTGCAGGGCCATTCGACTGTCACGGGAGAGGTGCCGTGGCCCCATGGGGTCTCACTGAAGGCACCCCAAAACCTAGACCAAATGAAGGAAGGGGGATGCAGTTTCGATGTGGGACAGCATCTTCCCATGCCTGTCCCAAATATTCCCATTTTGTCCCAAATTTTCTTTCCGTCCTATCTAAAGCGACCCCGATTTCACGGAAATTTTCGATTCCAGTGCCATTTTGTCCCGCTCTTACTTTTTGTGCTGTTTGCGGGGGACCTGACGGTCGAGAATAGACATGACTGAGTAGGGGCGAATGGAATACAAACTCTATGGTACGGAGGCGCTACCGGGCTTGGCAAGCGGCAAATGTCATCAAATCATCCAAAAGCGATGGCAGACGCGATTCAGGGTTTATGCATAGCGCCGCTTAAGTAGGGAAACCAGTTGCCAAGCATAGTTTTTTACCTTGGTGAGAGTTAACGGGTAGTTATATATAATACTCGCGTTCCACCGACTGCTGGACAGGGGGCTGAGAGGTTCAATACGTGTCTACGATGAAGGACAGCGAGTTGACGGGGTCGGAGTTGCGCCGCGCATTTCGGCTAGCCTTCGACCGCCTTGAGGAAAATCGCGACACGGTAAACGCGCTGAACGTCTTTCCCGTCCCGGACGGCGACACGGGAACCAACATGTCGCTCACGCTCCGGTCGGGAATTGAGCGGTGTCCCGACGGAGAGGGGCCTTCCGCCGGCGAGGTAGCTTACGAGCTGGCACAAGGGGCTTTCTTCGGTGCACGCGGTAACAGCGGAGTAATCCTGTCCCAGTTCTTCAAGGGGTTCAGCGACGCCCTTCAGGGCCGTGAGACGTGCTCAGCGGCCGACCTGACGCAGGCGCTGGACATGGCGCGAGTGGCGGCGTACGGCGCTGTCGGAAGTCCCAAGGAAGGGACGATGCTTACCGTGATCCGCAGGGCCGCAGAAGCGGCAGCGGAGATCGCGGGGGACGCCGACACCACCACCGTCTTTGAGACGGCCTTCGGTGCCTCGTGCATTGCGCTAAAGAACACCCCGGAGCAATTGCCAGTGCTCAAGGAAGCGGGTGTTGTGGATTCCGGCGGGCTTGGGGTGGTGGTGATCCTGGGCGGGACCCTGGAGGCACTGGCCCCCGACCGCTACGAGGAAGCGAGGGCAAGTGCCGGATTAGACAGCATTGTTGACACCAGCATGGCCTCGCTGGGAGGTGCCGGGCAGTCGCAGGAGCAGGGTTTCGTGCACGCTTCGCTGGAGGAGGCGTGGGGCTACTGCACAGAGTTCATCATCAGCGGGCAGCGACCTAAGCCTGGAGCAGGTGCGGCAGCGTTGCGAGGAGATGGGGCGCTCGACAGTAGTGGTTGGCGATTCCCTAAATGTCCGGGTGCATGTGCACATGGAGGACCCGGGGGCAGCCATCAGCTACGGAGTGGCCCTGGGAACGGTGTCCAGCGTCAAGATCGAGAACATGGACGAGCAGAACGTGGAGTGGGCCGCCGGCCACTCAGGTCCGGCCCCCAGCGTGGGCGCGCCGATAACCGTGGTCGCGGTGGCGGCAGGACGGGGGCTGGCGGAGCTGTTCATGGAGTCTGGCTGCGGGCATGTGATCGAGGGCGGCCAGACAATGAACCCCAGCGTGCAACAGATAATGGAGGGGGTGGAGCATGCCGGGGCCGAGCACACCATATTCCTGCCCAACAACAAGAACATCGTGCTGACGGCCCAGCAGGTCGCCGCCAACGACCCGACGATACACGTGGTGCCGACCCGCAGCGTCCCGCAGGGTGTGGCGGCGTTACTGGCCTACAATCCGATATCGACGGTTGAGGAGAACATGGCCGCGATGGAGGGCGTGCTTCCGGAAGTCACGACGATTGAGATCACTCAGGCGGTCAGAGACACCAGCGTGGATGGGGTGGCAGTCAGCCTGGGGGACTACATCGCCCTGCTGGACGACAAGCTGGTGCTCACAGCGCGGTCAGCGGAGGATGCCTTGCGGGAGAGCATCGGAATGGCGGGAGTCGATTCAAGCTCCATCCTTACCATATACCGGGGCTCGGACGCCGACCCGGGCGCTGCCGAGGCCTCCGCCGAGGCGCTGGAGGCGGCCACGCCGGGCCTCCAGGTAGACCGGCTCTATGGCGGGCAACCCCACTACCATTACCTCGCCTCTATCGAATAAAGGGGCCCGAATCTGAAGCCGCTAATGACAATGGCTGAAAAGGCACAATGGCAGGGCGTGAAGCCCTCCGCAGAGCTGGAGGCTCAATGGCGATACGAATAGTCACCGACAGCGTGTCGGACCTGCCACCGGCGTTGGCACAAGCCAACGACATCACCGTCATTCCCTGCTATGTGATCATTGGCAGCGAGACCTACAAGGATGGCGTAGAGATTACTCCCGAGCGTTTCTACTCGCGCCTACCCACTCTCTCGCGCCTGCCATCAACATCACAGCCGACAATCGCCGACTTCCAAGAGGTGTACCAGCGGCTTCTAGACCAGGGACACCAGATTGTATCGATCCACGTCAGCGCCAAGCTGAGTGGCACGCTGAACTCCGCGGCACAGGCCAAGGCAGCGCTGGGCGACTCGTCAGACATCGAAATAGTGGACTCACAGATGGCATCGGCCCCCATGGCGCTGGTAGTGCTGGACGCCGCCCGGATGGCGCGGGAGACATCCGATTTTCGCGAGGTGGCCCGCCGGGTGCGGGGGTCGCTCGTGAGGAATCATGGCTTTGTCATGGTCGATACCCTGGAGTACCTGCAGAAGGGCGGGCGGATCGGCAAAGCGCAGGCATTTCTGGGCGGAATGCTGAAGGTCAAGCCAATCCTGACGATCCGGGACGGCGAGGTTCATCCTCTAGAGCGTCCCCGGAGCCTGGAACGGGCGAAGAACCGGCTCATCGAGATGGCAAGGGAGCTGGCCCCGATCCGGCAAATCAACATCAGCTACAGCACCGATCGCGTCCAGGCCCTTGGTCTGCGGGCGGAACTTGCGGAACTGGTGGGGCCTGAGCACCTCGTCGAGTCGCGTTTCGGGCCGGTGCTCGGGGCCTACGTCGGGCCCAATGCGCTGGGCGTTGCCGTCACCCAGGGCAGCGACGATTAAAGGCAACCGAGCCGCCTATTGCAATCAGGCGGCTACAGGTAGCGCGGCCCCGATCGGACCATATTGATCGCCTGTTTGCGCAGGTATATCGTTGTATTATGTCAAGCCCCAGAACCACCCCCGCCGACTGGACAGAAACCTTCAGAAAGATTGTCGCCCTCGAGATCGAACGGGGTTTCAACAACAGGGCCGTGGTCGGCGGCCTGGACCAATTCCGGCTGCACTGGCAGGCGGAGATGGAATCGCGGGTGGCCAATTCCCCCGATGCGGCCTTTCTCCTGTCCCGAAACTACGGTGAGATGCCGCCGGAGCAGCGGGAGTCATGGGCCCGGCGGTGGATGGAACTTCTCGACGGCTCTCCAAGCATTCCGTCGAAACCAACACCTCCCACTTCCACGGATTCCATACCCGAGAGGACGGACTTCGAGAATTTCTTGAATCCGCCCCAAGTGGTGGGGTCGGCAGATGGGCGTACGCTGCCGAAGCCCCGCCCGGCATACCTACTTCCTCCAGCCGGGCGCAGCGTCGACGATCCGGTCGACTCGCTGCGGGGAATCAACGCCAGAACAGTTGATCGGCTGAAGCGTCTGGACGTTGCCACTGTCAGGGATTTGATGTACCTCTTCCCGCGCCGCCACGAGGACTACTCCAACGTGGTGAGCATTTCCGAGGTGCAACCTGGCCGGGAATGTACGGTGATCGGCACGGTGTGGGAATCGCGGGTGATTTCGCAGGGGCCCAAGGGCCGCAGGCAGGACACCGAGGCGATTCTGGGCGATGAAACCGGGAACGTTCGAGCAATCTGGTTCGGTCAGCGCTACTTGGCCCGCACGCTGCCGTCGGGCCGGAAGGTCGCAATCAGCGGGAAGGCCGACGTTTTCCGCGGTCAGCCGGTTTTCCAGTCGCCAGCGGTAGAGACTCTTGAAATAGAGCAGGCAGGCGTGCACACCGGGCGACTGGTACCGGTCTACCCGCTTACAGAGGGCTTAACGTCTCGGGCACTGCGCGGATTTACCTGGGATGCGTTGCAGAACTGGCTGGGCGGCATCGAGGAGACCCTGCCGGACGGGATCACAGGTTCAGAAACGCTGGCGGGTATGATGCCGCTGCGGGAAGCGGTCTTCCAGGCCCATTACCCGACGACGAGGAAACCTGGCAAGTGGCCCGCACGCGGCTCGCTTTCGACGAGCTGCTGGTGCTACAACTGGCGGTGCTTGGCCGACGGCGGGAGAGCCAGGTGGAGGTGACAGGCGTCTCCGTCCAACCGCCAGCGGGGGTTGTGGAGAGTTTCCTGGACTCGCTGCCCTTTGACCTGACGGGGGCACAGGCTCGGTGCATCGGCGAGATTTCCGAGGACATGCAGCGGGGGGCTCCTCCGATGAACCGCCTGCTGCAGGGCGAGGTGGGCAGCGGCAAGACCGTGGTGGCCCTCGCCGGACTGTTGTCGGCCGCAGCGGCAGGCTTCCAAGGCGCTTTGATGGCCCCCACGGAGGTGCTGGCGGAGCAGCATTTCCGATCAGTGTCGCGGATGCTGGAGGGACTGCCGCGGCCGGTGCAGGAGGACAACCTGTTCTCCGTCCACCTGCCTGGACTGGACCGCCCGGTGTCCGTGGGACTTCTAACAGGGAGCGTACGGGCCTCGGTCAAGCGAGTGCTCACCGCAATGGCGGCTGACGAAACGCTGGACCTGTTGGTGGGGACGCAAGCACTGATACAGGAGGGGGTGTCGATACCGTCGCTGGCGCTGGCAGTTGCGGACGAGCAGCACCGCTTCGGCGTGATGCAGCGATCGGCCCTGAGGGCTCGCGGCGGGGAAAACCCGCATACGCTGATTATGTCAGCTACCCCCATTCCGAGAACACTGTCGATGACGCTGTATGGCGACCTGGACATCTCCACCATCGACGAACTGCCTGCGGGACGGCAGCAGGTGGGGACACGCTGGGTGCCCCAGGAGCGCCGCCCCGATGCCTATGATTTTGTTCGCAAGCAGGTGGCAGACGGCAGACAGGCGTTTGTCGTTTGTCCGCTGATCGAGGAATCAGCCAGGCATCGAAGCCAGGGCCGCGACGGATGAATATGAGCGCCTTTCAGGGGAGGTGTTCCCCGACCTGCGTGTGGGATTGCTTCACGGACGGATGCACTCGCGAGAGAAGGATAGGGTCTTGCGCCAGTTCAGCGACGGTGACCTGGACGTGCTGGTTACCACCGCAGTTGTTGAGGTGGGCATTGACGTGCCCAATGCCACGATCATGCTTATCGAGGGGGCGGAGCGTTTCGGGTTGGCCCAGCTGCACCAGTTCAGGGGACGGGTGGGCCGAGGAGAGCACAGGAGCTACTGTTTCCTGCTATCCTCCGACACCCAGAGCGTGGCGGCAAAGGAACGGCTTTCAGCGCTGGAGCACACGAATGACGGGTTCGAGCTGGCCGAAATAGATCTGCAGCTGCGAGGGCCGGGCGACTTTTTCGGCACCCGCCAGAGCGGGCTGCCCTCACTGAGAATGGCGCAGTTCTCCGATCGGGCGCTGCTGGAGTCTGCGCGGGAACTGGCCACGCGAATCGCTTCCGAGGACCCCAAGCTCGAGGCTCCTGAGCATTCCGCCCTGGCTGCACAGGTGGCCCGTTTCGTTGAGCGCGCCGCCGCCGTGGCTGATTGATTCCGGAACATTGCCCAACGGAGACATACCTGTCGTCAGAGGGTGTCGGAGAGCAGCACGATTGTAAAGCCTATCGGAGTGAGTTCGTTCCAAGCTTGTCGAACCACTACCGGACTCTTACAAAACGTCCTTATGCAAGATCAATACAAGCGAGCTTGGTGCTCGAAGGATTTTGCAGTCAGCCTACGGGCCCGAGGAAGGGAACGGGTCAGCCCGGAGCCTTGAAACGGTAGCCGACGTTCCAGATGGTTTCCACAAAGGAGCGGCCGGGCGATTCCACCTTTGAACGCAGCCGTCGCACATGCACATCGACCGTGCGCGTACCGCCGAGATAGTCGTAGCCCCAGACCTGGCTTAGCAGAGCTTCGCGGGTGTAGACGCGGCCGGGGTTGGAGGCCAGCAGTGACAAGAGCTGGAACTCCTTGTAGGTCAGGGTCACGCGGCGGCCGGCCACGGAGACCTCGTAACGTTCCAGGTCAATGCTGAGATCCCCGATGGACAGGGTCTGCGAGCCTGAGGGTCCGTTGACCCGGAAAACCACCTGTTGCATCCGCAACGTAAGTTCGTCGTCTGACGTGGGGCAGATCAGGAGGTCATCCGGGTTCAGGGTGGGGTCATAGCGCCCAATGGCGTCCTTGGGAAGTGCCGCCACCACCGGCAACTTCCGCTCCCGACAACTGCCGACGGCCCGGCGCGCGTCGGCCATTTCCATGGTCGACAGGTCCAAGACGACTGCATCGGGAGTATCGGCACCGTCGGCTTCCCATGGAAAATCGCCGGTATCATCGAGCCTGCAGGACATGCCGACGCGCCCGACGGCATCAGCCAAGCCATCGCCACCGCCACGGTTAGCCAGAACAACTACGTTATACAATCAGACCGGTCCGACCCATACACCACGGCCGCCAGTCGCATCAGCCAGCCGCAGGCATTCCAAACTATTTCGCAACATCTATATTAAGTATATTAAGCGATAGCAGAGCGTAAGGCAGTATATCAAACACACAGAAATCTCCTCATTGCCCGGCGGGCAAGGGTCCGGGTCAGGCGGCGTCAATTTGACGCTCAATTGCACGCAAACTATTATTGAGCCTGCTTTTCCAAACGCAGTCGGGCGCCTCTAAAGGGCAATGGCGCCTCGCGTCCTTCGGAGGGACCGAGATGACAGTACAGAGTTTTGCATCCACCGCCGAAGAGGCACGCCATCGCATTCGCACAAACCAGTGGCGTGGCGTAACCTCTGGGGTGGCTCCGGGCCACGTGCAGGCCAACCTGGCCATTCTTCCCAGGGATCTCGCGTTCGACTTTCTGCTCTTCTGCCAGCGGAACCCCAAACCTTGCCCACTGCTCGAGGTGATCGAGCCTGGCAGCGTTGAGCCAGTGTTGACGGCCCCGGGCGCAGACATTCGCACTGACGCTCCGGCTACCGGGTGTACCGGAACGGCGAATTCACTGCCGAGGTGGACACCCTCGAGGACTACTGGCAGGACGACCTGGTGAGCTTCCTGCTGGGATGCAGCTTCTCCTTCGAGCAGGCCATGATTGACGCCGGCATCCCGCTTCGCCACCAGGAGCAGGGCAAGAACGTGGCAATGTACATCACCAACGTCGCCACCGCTCCAGCGGGCGTGTTCTCGGGTCCCATGGTGGTGAGCATGCGGCCAATCAAGCGGGATCAGGTTGTGAGGGCAGTGCAGGTGACCTCCCGGTTCCCGGCCACCCACGGCGCCCCGGTCCACATCGGCAGCCCCCGCGACATCGGCATCCGGGACCTTGACCTGCCGGACTTCGGCGAAATGGTGGAAATAAAGCCCGACGAGGAGCCGGTATTCTGGGCCTGCGGGGTAACGCCCCAGGCAGTCGCCCTGAGCTGCAAGCCGCCGCTGATGTTCACTCACGCGCCGGGGAGGATGTTCATCACCGACCATCGGGACGCGGACTACGCCGTCCTGTAGAGGTCTGTCTCAGCGGAAGATGACTTCTACTCCTTGCCGGTAGCTCGGCCCTTGAGGCCGAGTTCACGCCGGCGGAATCGCTTGTCCCGGGAAAACGCATCCAGGTTCTGTCAAGTTTTGTCTTTCAGGAACGGAAATGGCTGAGACCATCGAGGATATTATCCTGGACCACGACAAGCGGGGCATGCTGGCCTTACGACCTCACCTTCCTGCCGATTTCTGCAGGCAGGCGGCGCAGTATGTTATGGATCACCCTTGGCCATACGGTGATCGTAACCGGATTCTATGTCATTATGGCCGGCAAGCCGGAGACCGACGGTCCTCCCGGTGCCATTGCCATCGGCCGGGCGCTACAGGCGCTGGGCCGGAAAGTAACTTACGTCACCGACTCCTATACTGCCCCGGTGCTGCAGCAGTGGGCAGGGGAAGCAGACGTTGTCGAATTTCCCATATCCGGTATCGAGGAGAGCAAGCGCCACGCCGCGCAGTTGCTCCAGGACCTCCAGCCTGCGTTGCTGATCTCCATCGAACGCTGCGGCCGAAGCCGGAACGACACCTACCTGAACATGCGGGCCAGGGACATTACCCCACAGACGGCCCGTCTGGACTACCTGTTCGATGGTGGCATCCCGTCCGTAGGTATCGGTGACGGCGGAAATGAGATCGGCATGGGGAATCTGGTTGACGTCATACCGTCGGTGGACAGCCTGCCCGACGATCCTGCCATCAGCCGCGTCGACCGGCTGGTAATCGCAAGCGTGTCCAACTGGGGCGGCTATGGCCTCGTCGCCGCCCTGTCCCAGATCTGCGGAAGGAACATATTGCCCGTCGCCGACGATGAGGCACAGATGGTCCAAGGCATGATTGATGCCGGCGCCGTGGACGGTACCACGGGAGACGCGGTGCCTACGGTGGACAACTTCAGCATGGACGAGAACAGCGAGCTCCTGGCGCGGCTTCACAGCGTCGTCAGCACCGGATAGATGCCAGCCCCAGCCAACTGCAAGCATCCGGGCGACAACCGCCCGGCGATCGTCCTGCTTCGCGTCAACGGCCTGGATCGGGTCCCCGGGACTCGAGCATGGCATCAGTTGACGGTGTCCGCGCTTTCGCTGCTGATTGTGATGTCGCTGGCATTGTCTTGGGCGGGGCCGATGCTGGACCACCACTTTGCTGAACGCCATCCGGCTCACCAACACATCTACCTGGGCACGGCCACCTCGGAACACTCCCACGACTACGGGGCGATCCACATTCACAGCGTAACCAGCATGATGCAGTTGTCGACCGGGCAGCCTTCCGGCGGTCTGGACGACGGCATCGTGTTCGTGGTCCCCAGAGGCGGCTCGGGGCAAGGGGTTGCCGACCTGGCAGCCCCGGTGGTCTCTGAATCCCCACGATTCGGCATTGGTGACGGCACGGGCATACTGGGCCATCACTTTGGCTCCGACAGCATCCTGCCGGGCACCAGTATCGCGCCCCCAGTCCGCCCTCCGCGAGCATAACTCCTTTAGTTGCCGTAAGGCATCCAATGCGTGAAGAAACCAGGCCGTCACGTAAGCGGATGTCGTCTGAGCAACCATAAGACAGGTTCTGCGCCAAGCCTGTGAGAGGAGATTTTATGCTACAGCATATCCGCAAATTCGCGTGGCTGATCGTCGCCGCGCTGGCCGCCCTTTCCCTGTTCGGCGGGGCTGTCCTCGCCCACGAGGGACGCCCCGTCGGCGACTACCGCTTTATCGTAGGCTGGCTGGAAGAGCCCGCGTACGAGGGTTCTCAGAACGCGGTGTCGGTCCGGGTCAACAAGATTGTCGAAGGGGAGGCCGGGGAAGCAGGCGAGGCCGAAGGGGAGGACCACGGACCTCCCGGCCACCACGAGGAAGATCCTGACCCCACCCCTTCCGGGTCTCACGAGGAACAGGAGACCGACGAAGAAGACCACCATGGCGCGGAGGATAAGGAATCGGAGGAGGGCGAGGGACACCACGAGGAAGCAGACGAGGACAGCAACGCAACGACCAGCACGGACCGCGGTGAAGGTGGGCATCATGACAGCACCATAGAGGCTGCGGGCCACATGTCGGTTGCGTTCGAGACGTCGGTGGACTCGGTGACCGGGCTGAACGTGCAGATCATCCCCGAGGGTTTCACGTTCGCGGCAGAGAAAGTCAACGAGGCGCACGTCGAGGGTGAAGGGCACGCCCACATCTACGTCAAATGGAGAGAAGATTTCCCGCGTGTACACGCCTTGGTACTACCTCGGCGATCTTGAACCCGGAGAGTACGAGATCCGGGTGACGCTAAATGCGAACAGCCACGAGGAGTACACGTCCGGGGGAGTAAAGATACAGGCCACCAAGGTTATCAACGTCCCTGAGCCGCACGGGCATCATCACGGAGCAGAGACCGTCGGGGCCGAAAGCGAGATGTATGTGGACATCTCTCTGGAACCCGACCCTCTGGGTGGCGCCAACCTGTACATGGAGACTGAAGGAATCACCTTTGCTCCCCAGAACGCCGGAGCGCACCACGTTTCCGGCGAGGGCCATGGCCATGTCTATGTCAACGGTGTACAAATTGGCCGCATCTATGGCGAGGCCATGCAGCTGGGAAACCTGGCCGAGGGAACGAACAAGGTGCGGGTGACCCTCAACTCGAACGAACACTCGGCGTACACCTGGAACGGTGAGAGGGTTGAGGCGACAGCCAGCATCACCATCGAGGAAGGCATGGGCGGCGGCGGTTACGGGGAGCCGGCAACGGACCACCACAAGCCGGAAGACAAGCCCGAAGGCGACGCAGACGTCAACGGGGAACAGAACCACCACGGTGCGAACGGCGATGGGAGCGGCATGGAGGACAAGGAGACCAGCAGGACGGTGGGACCCCTGGGCGCCGCGAAGCCGCTGGCGAGCATCTCCGGCCAGAGCGAGGAAGTGGCGGTGCCGGTCGAAGGGCTGGAAGGGAGCCTCCAAGTGGAGGTGACCCACGTCGCCACCGGCGCCTCGCGCATCATCGACCTCCAGGCGGCCTGGGGGGATCCTGGTCATTACGTGGCCGGGCTGATCCCCACAGCCTCGGGGGTCTACGAGTTCCGCGTGTTCGGGACCATCGAGGGAACAAACATTGACGAGACCTTCGTTTCTCAAGGTGCTGGAGGTGACTTCGACGATATCCAGTCGTCAGCGGAGCTCCAGTTCCCCGAGCAACTGCCGGAGATGAGGGAAGTCGTCAGCGCGGTACAGGGAGCGAGGAATATCGCGCAGCAGGCTCAGGACGCCGCACTGGCTGCTCAAGCGGAAGGAACAACTGCAGGTGGCGGCGGTAACGGACTAGCCATAGTTGCGCTTGTCATCGGCATCGCCGGGGCAGTCCTGGGCGCCGGGGGTGTCTTCCTGGCCCTGCGGGCCCGCCAAACCCAGTAGCTGAGGTGGTAATTGGCCGCCCTGTCGAGAATTGACCGTCACGACAACCGGCTGAATGTGGGAGGCTGGCGCAGACGTCAGGCGTTTGCGTTGGCCTCCTTTGTGGCGCTGCTGGCTGCCGCCTGGCTGTGGCTGACGCCGGCAGGAGTGTCTGCCCATGCCAACCTGGTTTCGGCGGAGCCTGCGCCCAACTCGGAACTGAAATCGGCGCCTGACCGGATCATCATCTGGTTCACGGAGCCGCTGGAACCGGCCCTCGGCAGCATCCAGGTGCTGGACGCCACCGGCCAGCGGATGGACCTGGACAACAGCCAAGTCGACGACCTGAACCCGCTGGTGATGTCGGTGGGAGTTGGCGACATACCGGATGGCACCTACACCGTGGCCTGGAAGAACGTCTCGACCGTCGACGGCCACCGGGTGCGGGGTTCCTTCGTTTTCGCCGTGGGCCAGCCCCTCAGCGGCGATGCCATCGAGCCGCCTGAACAGCCGCTGCTCCAGTCGCCCTTCGCGCCATTCCTGCGATGGCTGATATTGCAGGGCGGGCTGGCCATGGTTGGCGGGCTGGCTTTCGAGATGCTGGTCAGCCGGCCCGCACTCAGGGCGGTAGGCGCCTCTGCGGCAATGCAGGAGGCCTCAGACTCACTGTCGTGGCGGTCCCTGCGTCTCGTATGGGCCGGGCTGGCGCTGTTCCTCGCGGCCTCCATCGGGCAACTCTTGCTGCTGACAACCATCACCCAGGAAGTGTCGGTCTGGAAGGCCTTCGGAGGGCCGGTCGTTGATATGGTCTCCGGCACCGAGTGGGGCCAACAATGGCTCTGGCGCATGGCGGCCGGCGTTGGATTCGGCATCATCCTGGGAACGCTGCGCTACGCGTCCGAGCTGTGGCAGCCGGCGGTCAGGCTGCTGGCCCTGGGGCTGGGTTGCGCAGGCCTGTGGACCATTTCACTGGTCAGCCACGGCGCAGCCACGGTCGAAATCAGGACACTGGCCCTGGCCGCCGATTTCCTGCACCTCTTGGCTTCCGCCTTCTGGGTCGGCGCGGTGTTCCACTTCGCCCTTGGTGTCAGGCTGTTTCGGTCGCTGCCAGATGCGGACCGGCGCGAATGCCTGGCGAGCCTGGTGCCGCGGTTCTCGGTAGTGGCCGCGATGAGCGTGGCGGTGATAGTCGTCACCGGCGTCTTCAGCGGGTTCGCCCAGGTGACTGTTGCGGAGGCGCTGAGCACGCCCTATGGAGTCACCTTGATCGCCAAGGTGGCGCTGGTGCTGCCGCTCCTCTTCCTGGGCGGGCTGAACCTGGTGTGGGTGCGACCACGGTTGCGGACCGACAGTAGCTCGGGGAACTGGCTGCGGCGCTTCCTCGTGGGCGAGGCGGTACTGGGCATCCTGATCCTGGCGGCGGTCGGTTTGCTGACCAGCATTGAACCGGCGCGGCAGGTGGCATCCCGCGAGTTGGCAGAGGAGCGGCAGTCGCTGACCTTCAGCGACACCGTTGATACCGACGACATCGCCCTCAAGGTTTCCCCAGGACGGGTCGGCACCAACGATTTAACGGTGACGCTGACCGACCGGCTGGGGCTTCCCATCGCCAACTCCAGCGAGGTGATGGTGCGCCTGGTCTATCTCGACTCCGACCTTGGTGGCGATTCCCTGGTTGCCGACTCTCGAGGCGACGGCACTTACGTGCGGAAGGACGCACAACTCAGCATCGCGGGGGTGTGGCAGGCGGAGCTCATCGTGCGCAGGCCGGACGCATTCGACGCACGCACGGCGTTCCGGTTTGAGGCTCTTCCGACCAGTGGAGGAGGCAGCGCGGCCATTTCGCCATCGCCGGCTACAGCTTACCTCCTGCTGGGTGTCGGGCTGCTGGTACTGGGGCTGATGTTTCTTGGAGCCGGCCTGCCGCTGGGCGGCTGGTTCTCGCGGTCTGGCGCGGGGGTGATGACGCCGGGCATTGCCGGAGTGGCGGCGGGCCTGCTGCTCTTGTTCAACGCGCAGCTCGGGCTGGGCGGCACCGAAGTACTTCGCAATCCGACACCGCCGACGCCGGAGTCCTTACAGGCCGGCACGGTCACATACGGGCAGGTCTGCCTGACATGCCACGGGGACGCAGGCAGGGGAGACGGTCCAGCGGCTGCCGGACTCTTGCCGCCGCCCGCCGACCTCGTGGTGCACGTGCCGCTGCACGGCGATGCCGACCTGTTCCGGTTCATCCGCGACGGCATTCCGGACACCGCTATGGCGCCGCAGGGAAGCAACCTGACCGAGGAGCAGATCTGGAACGTGGTCAACTACATCCGGACACTGGAGGAGTAACGTTCCAGATCGCCGGATAGTTTCAGTGGGACCAGAGACCATTGCCGCACAGGCGACCGCTCAGCCCCCCAACGGGCTAACTGCCAAAGGAACTCTTGCATGCAGCGGGAGCCCTGGTGTGAGGCTCGACCTCAGTTGCCCCAGACCTGGCGGGCAACCTCCGCCACCATTTCCAGCTTTCGCCACTGCTGATCCTCGGTCATCAGATTGCCGGGCGCGGTAGACGCGAAGCCGCATTGAGGGCTGATGGCAAGTCTTTCCAGCGGGACAAATGCGCTGGCCTCTTCAATTCTCCTCAACAATTTGTCGGAGGATTCCAATTCGGCCTCTTTGCTGCTGATCAACCCCAGGACAACCACCTTGTCCGACGGTGTGAATCTCAGCGGATCGAAGGTGCCTGAGCGCTCCGTGTCGTATTCCAGCAGAAACCGGTCCACCTTCAGTGAGCCAAACAGCAATTCTGCGATGGCCTCGTATCCACCCTCCGCATACCATTTGCTCTGGTTGTTGCCCCTGCAAACGTGAAAGGCGACGACAATCCCCTCTCTCTGTGCCCCTTCCAGGCAATGGTTGTCGGCGGCGACGGCTTCTTCAAACATCTGGTCCGGGTCCTCGCCAAGATCGCGCAGATGTTGCCGCCAGCGAGGGTCGACGTAGTAGCTGTACCGAGGGGCGTCCATCTGGATGTACTGAACCCCCGATTCGGCCAGTGCGGCGATTTCCGAGCGGATTATTTCAGCAATCTCCCACAACAGGTCGGAGCGGCTGGAGTAGAACGGGTCCGTGATGCCGGGCTGGAACGTGAGGGCGGAAACTGGTTGGGGCTGGGAAGGGTCATCTTTACGGGACCCGGGGCATGTTGCAGCAGGAACGGCAGTTGATTTCCGGTCAAACTGCGTACCTGCCGCAGTTTTGCGCCCACGACATGCCGCATTCCCGGTTCCGTTGGCTGCTCGCCCGGCCCCTGCCAGATTCGGACAACTGCCGGTGAGCTGGTTTCCACAAAGCCATCGACACTTTCGACCAGGTCATTCTGGAAAACGGTGCGGCGAAATTCTCCGTCGGTAAAGACGGTCATGCCGACGTCTTTCTGCCGCTCCAGCACCCTGAGTATGGCCCGGTCCTCGACGGCAGTCACCTCGCTCAATTCCATCCGCCCGCCCTGGTAGGCACTCCTCGCCTCCTTGACCTCAGTCGGACGGAGCAGGCTTCCCACGTGGTCGGCGCGATATATATCAGGCATGAGAATTTCTCCGGCTTTGAATGGGGGATTGTCCCCTGGATGGCTTGGTCTCAAGTTTTTGATTTCTTGTTACATAAAGTTGAAAGAATGGACATTTCCGGACCCTTGGCGGCGATGGTCGGGTGCCAGAGCAGGGGCGCTGGGTCCTTTCCTGAGTGTCTCACATTTACCCACAAAAGTTTTTTAAGTGTCTCATTCTGCCTTTCTTTGTCTCATTTCAGGGCGGAGGATTTCAGCGCTCCCTGGCGCCTCGATGACATCCGCCAATGGTCGGCAGGGTACCGATCAAGGTGGTCGAATCGCTCAGATACCGGGGCCCGGATTCCGGCTTTCTCTGGAATGACGGACCTCAATCTGGCAGACCACCGAGAGCGGAACGGGAGATCCTCCGTGCATTCGATGTTAGAGGCGTGTCATGAGGCTTGGCAAGGGGCTACTGTCAGCAATTTGGGACGGGACATTGTCCACGAGGCGGGAGGGCGGGTTTGAAACCCGCGCCTACGGCGCGGGGTATGAGGGCCAAGCGGGCGTGGGCAACCCTCTCCCGGGGAGGCGGCGGGGCTAATCGGCCGCGGGGGCGAGGGTCTTTTCCTCGATGGCCAGCAGTCTGCGCAGCTCGAAAATCTCGTCGCGGAACTGGGCGGCCTTCTCAAACTGCAGTCCCTTTGCAGCGTCCTTCATCTGCACCTCGAGGTCCTTGACCACCTTGAACATGTCGGCCCGGGACATTCCTTGCGCACCACGTTGTAGCGGGCGCGGTTCTCGGCGATAGCCTTGATGCCCTCGGTGATGTCGTGCACCTCTTTCTGGATGCTCTGCGGCTCGATGCCGTGGCGCTTGTTGTGCTCGCTCTGCAGCTGGCGGCGGCGGGTAGTCTCGTCGATGGCCCGCTTCATCGAGTCGGTGATCCTGTCGGCGTACATCACCACGTGGCCGTTGGCGTGCCGGGCGGCGCGGCCGATGGTCTGGATCATCGACGTGTCGGAGCGGAGGTAGCCCTCCTTGTCGGCGTCGAGGATGGCGACAAGACTGACCTCCGGAAGGTCCAGACCCTCCCTCAGCAGGTTGATACCAACGATGACGTCATAGACGCCGAGGCGGAGGTCGCGCAGGATTTCGATGCGGTCCAGCGTCTCTATGTCGGAGTGCAGGTAGCGTGTTGCGAATGCCCATCTCCGACAGGTAGTCGGCCAGCTCCTCGGCCATACGCTTGGTCAGGGTGGTGACCAGCACCCGCTCGGCCCTCTCGATGCGTTCCTTGATCCGGGCCAACAGGTCGTCGATCTGCCCCTTAGTGGGCAGGACCTCGAGGGTTGGATCAAGCAGTCCGGTGGGCCGAATGACCTGCTCCACAACCTGCTTGCTGTGCTGCAGTTCGAAGGGCCCCGGAGTGGCCGAGACATAAACGACCTGGTTTATGTGCTCTTCGTACTCGTCGAAGTTCAGGGGACGGTTGTCCAAGGCCGACGGCAACCGGAAACCGAACTCCACCAAGGTCTTTTTGCGGGACATATCGCCGTGGTACATGCCCCGTACCTGGGGCAGGGTCATGTGGGACTCGTCGACGAACAGCAGGTAGTCGTCCGGGAAGTAGTCCAGCAGCGTCCAGGGCGCGCTGCCGACGGGGCGCTGGGAGAGGTGCCGGGCGTAGTTCTCGACGCCGGAGCAGAATCCAGTCTCCTGGAGCATTTCCATGTCGTAATTGGTACGGCTCTCCAAGCGGGCCGCCTCAAGGATCTTTCCTGCATCCCGCAACTCCCGGAGCCGCCACTCCAGTTCCTCGCGGATGCCCACGACGGCTAGGTCAAGCTTGTCCCTGGTTGTGACGAAGTGGTTAGCGGGGTAGATGGCCACCTGGGGCAATTCGGCCAGCAACTCGCCCGTCAGAGGGTCCAGCTGCACGATTCGCTCCACCTCATCGCCAAAGAACTGGATGCGAACGGCCGCTTCCTCGTAGGCAGGCACGAGCTCGATGACATCGCCCCTCACGCGGAACTTGGCGCGGGAAAGCTCGAGATCGTTGCGGTCGTACTGCATATCCACGAGCTGGCGGACCAGTTGACTACGGCTGCGAATTTCCCCCACCTGGACCTGCGCCACCAGGTTGAAGTAGTCGTTGGGATCGCCAAGACCATAGATGCAGGACACCGACGCCACGATCAACACGTCGCGCCGGGTAAGCAGCGAAGTCGTGGCAGACAAGCGGAGCTTGTCCAGCTCCTCGTTGACGCTGGAGTCCTGTTCGATGTAGGTGTCGGACTGGGGGACGTAGGCTTCGGGCTGGTAATAGTCATAGTAGGAGACGAAGTATTCGACCGCGTTGTGAGGGAAAAACTCCTTGGACTCCTGGGCGAGCTGTGCGGCGAGGGTCTTGTTGTGGGCCATAACGAGAGTGGGGCGCTGCACCTGCTGGACGATGTTGGCCATGGTAAAAGTCTTGCCGCTTCCCGTCACGCCCAAGAGGCTCTGGCGGGGCAGTCCATTGCCCAAGCCTTCAGCCAAGCGGTCCACTGCCCCTGGTTGGTCGCCGGTCATTCCGAATTCGGCCACCAACTGGAAGGGCCGGTCTTCGGGGTTGGCGTTGCGGCGTTCGTTCACTTCTTTCCCTGCTTCAGCCCACTTCTTGCCTCGCGCGTAGACCGTCATGCTCCCACTCCATCGACTTTACGAAGTCATCGTGACCTGAATTATAGACCCGAAGCAGCCCCTGGTGGCCCGTGAATCGCTACCGCTGTGCAAACTGCTGAAGGGCAATGCGTATCTTGTCCTCCACGGAAAGGCCGTCGGAATCGGGGATGGCGCCCGCGGCGGCCCTGGCCTCGCTGGCAGAGTAGCCGAGGGCAGAGAGGGCCGCCAGCACCTCGCTTGTGTCGTCGGCTGACGCCGCGCCGGGAGTCCCTTCGATTTCATCCACCTTGCCGCGGAGTTCGAGGATGATGCGGTTGGCGATGCGGCGTCCCACTCCCGGGGCGGCTGAAAGGGATGCGGCATCGCCAGAGGCCACCGCCATCTGGAGCGAAGCGAATCCATGGACGAGAGCAGCGCCAACGCCAGCCGGGGACCCACGCCGGATACGGTGGTCAGGAGCGTGAACAGCTGGGCCGTGGCATCATCGGGGAAGCCGTACAGGATGGGCTGTTCGTCGCGGATGCGGAGGAGCGTGTTCAACGATACTGAGGAACCGGTGAGGCCCAAGGCGGCGATCGCATTCGACGGGACAAAGATCTGCAATGTCACCCCGCCCACTGCGACATGCACCCAGTCGGGGCCCGTGGCTGCCAGTGTCCCGCGCACTCCAACGATCATCTGTCAGCCTACCGCCGCCGCAATGAGCCGCACGCCTACTCGCTAGCGTTCGCGCCCGGGGGGAATCTCGTTTAGCATCGCACCCGACGCTTGCCGTTGCGCCAGGTGGCACAACCCGACGGCTAGTGCGTCGGCGGCGTCGATTTCCAAGGTCGTGGGGAGGCTTAAGGTGGCGGCGACGATGCTGCGAATCTGCTCCTTAGTCGCAGCGCCGTAATCAGCAACCGCCCTCTTCACCTGAGCGGGAGCGTATTTGAATATTTCCATACCCTGGCTGGCAGCGCCTATCAAAACGGCCGCCTGGGCCTGTCCGATGGCCAACGATGAACCAGGGAAACTTCGCTCGCCCCTGCCCACAAAGGGGTCTTCGATGGCCAGCGCCTCTGGACGGAAGATGGCCATCATGTTGAGGATGTGGGAGTGCATCTGGTAGAGACGGCTTTCGATGCGCATCGAGGACGGGAGGGAAACGACGCCGTAGTCGACAGCTTCGATGGCGAGGCCCTCCTTAATGACGCCATAGCCCATGCGCAGGGTGCCGGGGTCAATTGCCAGGACAGTCATCTGCGGCTCCCTTGCGATTTGGCTATAGCGGTCGAGGCCCCATTGAGGCAATAGGCGATGTCAGGCTCATTCGATCGCGTCTATGCGTTTGTCCAAACGGACGATCTCGGCCTGGGTAATCGGGAGGTAGGCCACGAGTGCCTGGATGATCTCGTCCTGACGATCCAGAATCTCTCCAACTTCTGTCATTGCTTCTTCATACCTCGCCTGCGCGGCACGAAAGCGGCGTAGTGCCGCGTTCATGTCCCGCTGTGCACTGATCAACAACCGAGAGACTTCTTCGACGGTTGTGAGTCGCTGTTCCATCGACATCGGGGAGGAATGCTCCTGTTACTCTCTGGTCAGACCAGTCCGGGTTCCTAGCTGGCCTGGTAGCGCTCCAGAACCTCTGACGGGAAGTCGGCGTTGGTGAAGGCCTTTTGTATGTCGTCCAGGTCTTCGATGGCGGGCGTCAAGCAGGCGCAGGGTCTGTTCAGACTCTTTTTCACCCAAGGCTATGGTGGTCTTGGGCACCATGGACAGCTCGGCGTTGCGGACCGCTACACCCTCAGACTCCACGGCACTCTGGACGTCCTGGAGGCTCTCGATGGGAGAGAAAATGTCGAGCACGCCTTCGTCGATCTGGATGTCTTCAGCACCGGCGTCGATGGCGAGAGGCCCAACTCCTCAGCTTTCTCCTCATCGTCAATATCGATTGTTACCACGCCACGGAGATCGAAATTCCAGGCCACGCAGCCACTCTCACCCAGGTTTCCGCCGCCACGGTTGAACGCCGCACGAACGTCGGAAGCAGTGCGGTTACGGTTCGTGGTGACAGCCTGGATCAGTATGGCTCCGCCGCCGGGCCCGTATCCCTCGTAGGTGACCTGCTCCAGGGCTTCGCCGTCACCGCCTTCCCCGCTGCCACGCTTGACGGCCCGACTGATGGAGTCCTGCGGCATGTTGTTGCCCTTGGCCCGGTCGAGGGCCAGCCGCAGCTTGAAGTTCATATCGGGATCGGCTCCGCCCCCTTCGCGAACGGCAAGGGCGATGTCGCGGCTCAGCTTGGTGAACAGGGCACCGCGCTTGGCATCGGCGGCTCCCTTCTGGTGCTTGATGGTTGACCATTTAGAATGACCGGACATTGCGCTACCTCCCGGCCCATCGATTGTTTAAGGGCGATTTTAGCATCGGCCCAAAACAGGGTCAAAAAGAAATTGTCAGCGGAGCCCTTCAGGGAGGTTCACCAGCATCTTGCCAGACGCAAGATCGATGTCCTGAATCACGCTGGCCATCGCCGGAATCAACAGTTCAGCGCCAGTGCCCTCTGACTATGTAGACATCGTTGCTGCCCGTTTCCAAGATCTCCTGCAACTGCCCGAGGTCTTCCCCGTCTTCTGTTATGACCTGCAGGCCGATGAGTTGATAGTGGAAATATTCGCCTTCCTCAAGAGTGGCTTCCGAGTCCGGGAGGGCAGCGAGGAATTTGCCGGTAAGGAGAGAGGCCTGGTGGCGGGAGGTGATGCCTTCGAGTCTGATTATCGCAGTTTCCGGGCCGGTCTGCCGCGACTCCACGATCGAGTAAGCGACGTCATCGACCAGCAATTCGCGGCCTACGTCGAAGCGCCCTGGCAAGTCGCTGAGCAATTCGACGCTGAGGGCGCCGTCCCGGCTGTGAGCGCGGTAAACGCGGGCAACGACAACAGGGGCGGGGGGTTCCGGATGGGAGCTATCCAACGCTTGGTGAGCTGGTATTGTGGCTATTCTATTTCAAGGACGGCCTGCGAGCCATCCTTGACAGCCGCGACGCGGAGGATGACCCGCATCGCCTGGGCCACGCGCCCTTGCCTACCGATAACCTTACCCTTGTCCTCGGGGGCTACCTGAAGGCGGAAAACTGTCCGCCCACCCATGTTGGACTCTTCCACACGGACCTCTTCCGGTTTGCTCACCAGGGAGGAGGCCATATATTCAATGAGTTCTTTCACGCCTCGGATTCCTCAGAAGGTTCTTCGGCAGCGGCGGAATCCTCACCGGCGGCGGAAGCACCAACAGCGGCCAGACCGTTACCCTTTTCGATGATACGCTTTACCGGATCGGAGGGCTGTGCTCCATGCCCGAGCCAGTACTGGGCGCGATCAAGGTTGATGTTGATGGCAGGAGGATTCTGCATGGGATCGTAGGTCCCGATCCATTCTATGTAAGACCCGTCTCGGGGGGCCTTGGCCTCTGCGACCACGATCCTGTATGACGGCTTCTTTTTTTTGCCGATCCTGCTGAGCCGAATCCTAAGCATTAAATCTCCGTTGGCTTTGGCTAGTCGCGCGACGCCGAATTTATTACGGCAAAATTGTACGAATTCCGTAGTTTGCTGTCAATCGGGGAGAGCCTGACGGGCCTTCGATTCCTTCGCTTGGGCAAAGAAATCGGGCCCGGCCAACTCTGGCTTAAGTTCGCCCGAAAATCCATCCCGGATCCTAAGGGGCGATGGTAGACATTGGCCTGGGCCCGACGTTCGGGTTATATTTCGTGGCAAATAGCTACGAAACAATCACCTCGTCGCGTCCAGACTGATGCCTACCATCGCCCCTACGTGTTAAACTGTCGTCCATTCTTATCACCTCCCTCTTCAAATTCCGACAAGCGGTAAACGAATATTACTCCGTCCTCTTTTACGATGTCAACTATCTCTTTTGCCTCATCTTCTGCAATTGTAGCGATCTGAACGGCGGATTGACTTGATCAAGGTCATATTCATGGGAACGCCGTCCTCGGTTGTTCCGGTGTTGGGCCGCCTTCTCCAAATGCCGGACGTCGATGTGCTGGCCGCGGTTACTCCGCCTGACCGGCCCCGGGGGCGAGGCCGGCAGCCGGAATCCCCACCGGTGAAAGATGCAGCAAGCTCGCTGGGGATTCCGGTTTTGCAGCCGCCCACTCTCAGGCGCGAATCCGTCCAGGCTGATTTGGCGGCGCTGTCGCCGGACGTCATTGTCGTCGCGGCCTATGGTCGCCTTCTGCCATCATCAGTCCTGCAAATCCCGCCTCACGGCTGCCTCAACCTTCACCCGTCCTTGTTGCCGCGGCATCGTGGTCCTTCGCCAGTAGCGACCTCGATTCTCGAGGGAGACGAGACTACCGGCATAACCCTGATGTTGCTGGACGAGGGCATGGATACCGGCCCGCTGGTGGCCCAGAGAGAATATGCTCTCGAAGGAACCGAGACTGCGGGTGACCTTACCGACCTCCTGTTTAACATGGGCGCTGATCTGCTTGCGGAAAACCTCGAGTCCTGGACGCGAGGCGAATTGAAAGCCGGGGCACAAGACGAGACCGCGGCCACAGTGTCGAGCAAGCTGGAACGCACTGACGGACTGGCGGACTGGATGCTTCCGGCCTCCACGCTGGTCAGGCAATGCCGGGCGTTTTCCCCTTGGCCCGGCCTGTACACGGAATGGGAGGGCAAAACGCTCAAGGTGCTGGAAGCAGAACCCATGGGCGACCTTGTCCCTGCGGGAGCCGGTCCGGGTAATGTGGTTGGCGGCGCCTCTGGACAAAGGCTGAGCGTTGCAACCGGCCAAGGTATGCTGGCACTCAACCGGGTTCAACTGGAGGGGCGGAGGGCGGTAACCAGCGAGGAATTCCTGAGGGGCTACCCGGAAATCGTGGGCGCAAGATTGGGCAGTCAAGAAACGAAATCCTAAACCAGGAGAACCGCAAATGGCCATGAACATACCCGAGGAATCGCAAGTGCTGCAGTGGCTCGATTCGCTGAAGAACTGGGGTCGCTGGGGACCGGACGACCAGCTGGGATGCCTGAACCTGATCGGGCCCGAGCAGCGGAAGCGGGCCGTGTCGCTGGTAACCGACGGCGTGTCCGTCAGCTGCGCCCGCCCCATCACCACCGAGATGGCGGCCGACACCACCTACCAGGTGCAGCGGTTCATGGTGGACAGCGGCGAGGGCCGCGATACCGACCCGCCGGAACGGCGGTACACCCGCCGGGGAGCTGGGGAGTTCATCGGCATGGTTTTCCATGGCCAGACCATCACCCACATCGACGCCATGTCCCACTACTCGTGGAACGGGCTGATGTACAACGGCGTGCCGTCAAGAGTCATCACCTCCCGCGAGGGCGCCCAGTCGCATAACATCGAGGCGGCTTACAAGGGGATCATCACGCGGGGAGTGCTGCTCGACCTGCCCCGTCTTCGCGGTGTCGACTGGCTGGACCCCACTGAGCCAGTAATGCCAGAGGACCTGGAGGCGGCGGAGCAGGCCCAGGGCGTTAGAGTGGGAGAGGGCGACATTCTGCTGACCCGCACCGGCAACTACAGGATGCGCCTGGAACGCGGGGCGTCTGGGCCGACCGACCCGATGACCGCCCACCAGGCCGCATGCGCGCCCTGGTTCAAGGAGCGGGGCATCGCGATGATGGGAACCGACACCTCGAACGACGTGCGGCCAAATCCCTACGAGACGATCGGCAACCCGCTGCACACCATATGCCTGGTCAGCCTGGGCCTGTGGTTCATTGACAACGCAAACCTCGAGGAACTGGCCGCTGCCTGCTCAGAGCGCAATCGCTACGAATTCATGCTCACGCTGGCCCCGCTGCGCCTTCGCAACGTGACGGGGTCGCCGGTCAATCCGATAGCGCTGTTCTAGCGGCGGCGGTCATCGCCGCCACCCGGCAGGACGCGCCGCAATGCTGCCCAGATGACGCCGGCGAACAGGGACGCCAAAAGCAGTACGCCGCCGATAACTATCACCGTCACTGCCGCCGGAATGAACCCGGCGGTAACTTGGCGGGCGAAAGACTCGCCAAGGTCGCCCGCCAAACTTATGGCGGCTGTGGGAACGTCGGACGAGTAGGAAATTGGGCGAATTGCCGCGTCTTTTATCCTGCCAGGAACCGCTGAATTCAAGACGAACCCCACCCCCAGGCACACGCCGCCACCCATCAGGAGGGCCAGCCCCGGCCAGCGCAACATATCAGCGGGGCGCGGGAAATGGACCGCCGCCAGTACCAGAGCGCCCAGGATCACCATCAACAGCGCAATGATCCTGCCGGGACCGTTGGCTGCGCTGACAGTGCTGCGGAGGGATTCGGCTTGTTCGTCGATGTCTTCCCTGGTCAGGTCCTCGGAGTTCTCGGCCAGTTTCTCGAGGAGATCCAGACGATCTCCCCTCTGCAAATCGCGGCGAATCTCCCTGATCGCATCGTCGATGACCGGCGTGATCAACGGAGTAGCGGCCAGCTTGAGAAATTCTCTAGTATCTCCAGCCACGAACGCATTTCGGAGTTGCTGCCTTTCACCCTCCAGGATTCGGGCCGCCTCAGAATTCATGGCCGGATCGTCAAGCACGCGATCGAACCAGACGTCGAATTCCGTTTGGCGACAGTCCCTGGTCAGGGTCTCCAGAGAGGGGGCGTTAGTGGGCAACTCGCCATTGGACAGTTTGGCGAAGGGTACTGCGGAGTCGGCGGCCAATCGCCGCTGACTGGCCAGCGAACATCCCGGGGAACCCGGCTGCTTGATCTCCAGCTCGTCAATTTTCTTGTAGATTCGGTCCAAGATGGCGGGTTCCACCCGCTCCAACGGCTCTTTCAGCTCCACGAAGAGCTCAAGGCGTTCCTGTTCTTCCTTAAGGAAGTCAGTGAACCGGTCTATGTTGTCCTCCGTCTGCTCCCTCAGGTAGGCGGGAGGCATGACGTCCTTCAGGATTTCGACCGATTCTTTCTGGACGTCAAATTCCACGCCGCCCAACAGGTTTTCGCTCTGATCCTTCAGCGCCTCGTCTACAAGGACCTCATCGTAGATGCGGTTGTAGGCGTCGGTCTCGTTGATTGAGGCCCGGTAAACCTCGGGGTCTTCCAGTCGCTGGGAGAAATTGACCACAACGAGAAAGTAGAGGAGACCGGCAAAAATCACCATTCCAAGGACAAGGCCAGCCAGGGCCCGGACAATAGTCACAACTCGTCTCGCGGTATCTTCATCTGTCGACTGTGCCTTTCAAAAAATGAATTCCTGTGACGCCTGCGTCAACACCCGGGGTTCGGAACCCCTGAATCAGAACTTGGGGGTTATTTGCATCGAAGCAAGGCGTCTCACACGCTCAGACGTCGGTGGATGGGTGGAGAAAAGGCCGGCCAAGTTGGCCCCCTGAAGCGGGTTGACAATGAACAGGTGAGAGGCGCCCTCGACAACCCGCATGGGACGGACCTCAGAACCACGTTCCAGCTTCTGCAGCGCGTTGGCCAGTGCCAGGGGATCGCCGCAGTTGTGGGCCCCCCGGTGGCGTCGGCCTGGAACTCGCGGGTGCGGGACACGGCTGCCCGGACCAGTGCCGCCGCTATCGGCATGACGATGGCGATGATCAGCAGGCCGAAATGTTGTCCCGGCCCTCGCGTCCCCCGAGCAAACCGCCGAAGATCGCGGAGAACTGGGCAATCATGGCCAGCATGGAGATGGCACCTGCGATGGTCGCCACTACGGCCATTATCAGGGTGTCGCGGTTGCCCACATGCGCCATCTCGTGGGGAAGCACCGCCGAAAGCTCCTCACGGCTCAGGATGCGGCGGATGCCGGTGGTAACGGCAACCGCGGCATTCTTCGGGCTACGGCCCGTGGCGAATGCGTTGGGTGAGTCGGTGTGAATCTCGTACACCTTGGGCATGGGTAGGCCGGCCAGGCGCGCCTGTTCGCGCACGATGCTGTACAGCTCTGGGTCATCCTGCTCGGAAATGTGCTGGGACTTGGTCATTCCCAGGGCGATCCTGTCGCTGAACCAGTAGGCCCCAATGTTTATGATCAACGCAAATATCAGGGCTATGACGACGCCGCCCTGTCCGCCGGATGACGCCGCCAATAAGGACCAGCATCATGGATAGAGCCATCATCAGGACAAAAGTCTTCAACGTATTCAACTGAACACCCTCCAGCTGGAGAACGTCGAGAAGCGGATGTGGACCGTTACAAAACCAACGGACGCAAGTGCGAACCCACCTTATTGGATTATAGCATCGGGCATCCGACTGAAATTTTGCTGCCATCGCCGAAACTGCCGCCGGGAGGTCGCCATTGCCTATGTTCGAATCTGAGCGCACACACTCGGGCCATCAAGGCGCAATCAGGGCGGCAAGGGGCAACTGTCAGCAAATGCTTAACACATGTCGCTGGGACCACGAGATTTCGCACAAGTTCCAGGATTCCCGGCCCTGCTTCCTGTAGGCGCCACGAGATGCCCCGGGAGCGCGTGCCTCGAGCGGAATTCCAGATTGCAAGCAGCCGAACAACCTGAGAACCACCTGAATGGGAACGCAGTTGACAGTGCTGGAACCGCCAGAGTAGAATGCCGGAAGTTAGATACAGTGTCTCAATAGCCCTCCGTGGATGCACGATCATGGCGTTGACCAAGCGAAGCGCATCAGTAGCTGACCAGATTCTGGACACCCTGGACGAGCGGGGTTACCGATCCACGTCGCCTCGCCGTTCGCTTGCCGTTGCGATTGGGGAACAGGAGGGCCACTTCACCGCTGAGGCCCTGAGAAAGCAACTGCCATCGTCGCTCGGGCGCGCCACCGTGTATCGCACCCTCAAGATACTGGTCGATGCGGACGTCCTGTGCCGGGTAATGCTGGAGGACGGCGACCTGCATTACCAGTTGAGCCACCACGGACACCATCACCACCTCCTGTGCGTCCTCTGTGGGTCCTCCCAGGACCTGACCGGTTGTGACATCGAGGACGTCCTGGTCTCGACCTCAGCTCGCCACGGCTTCGAGCTAAGCGGGCATTGGCTGGAGGTCTACGGCCGCTGCCGTAGCTGCGTCGACAACCTGCAAGCCGCGGACTAGTATTTTTTAGCCACCTTTCCTGATACCGCCTATCAATTCTCGCCGACTACTGAGACTCCCTATCAATTATAAAGGCCTATTGAGACAGATTATCAGGAAAAGACCCATATTGAGACGCTTTATCAATTAACGAGAATAAATGATACTGGATATCATCATTGCTCACTGATTGAGACTCTGTCTTGAATTGACCCGGTTTTTGAGACATCGATACATTTTAAATGGGGGAAGACAAGCCAAAAATGATCCGACGATACACAATCCTGTTCGTAATTCTCGCATCGACTCTCACCCTTCTACTGGCGGTGGCTTGCGGCGGGGACGCGGAAACGGATGCCCCAGCAACGACTGCGCCATCGCCCGCAGGCGCGGCATCGACTACGACTGACGCTACAGGAACAACGACATCCAGTTCCACACCAACCTCTGCAGCCACGACCGGGTCATCGGCACCCACCTCACCAGCCTCAGCCTCTTCAACCACAGGTGTCTCCGGAGGAGGGAAAGATCAGTGTCGTTACCACCAGCAACATCCTGGCCGACTGGGTCAGGGCCGTTGGCGGGAACCGCGTTGACGTGTTCTCGCTGCTGCCGGCCAACGCCGACCCGCACACCTACCAGCCAGGGGCGCAGGACATCGCTCGCATTGCCGACGCCGACCTGGTATTCAGCATCGGACTGCAGCTCGAGGGCGGCTGGCTGGAAGAGCTGATCGAGAACGCCGCCCGCGACCACGACTCCATCGTGGCGGTGGGGGACGTCGTAGACCCCATTGACTTTGTCGAACTAATTGATGAACACGGCGGGGAGGGTGCCGAAGACCTGGTGGGCCGCCTGCTCATCGGCGACGGCGAGACGGGCATGATGTCGGTCATCGACCTGGAGCACGGGGACGTGGACCAGGACGCTTTCGACCTCGGCTCCCGGGCGGGACGCATCTACGCCACCAAGAACGGACGCTTCGCCATCGCGGTCTCCAGCGACGCCAACACGGCCCACGTCCTTGACGGCGGCATCTACCTGGAGGCCCACGGTGACCACTTCGACGAAGTGGAAGGACCGGTCGAGCGCATGGGCATCGACCTGTCCGGAGACCGCCCGGTGCACCTGTACGTCGGCTCCGAATGGGCCTCCGTCTTCTACGACGGCTCCGGGGATGTCGTGCTGCTCAACGAGCACGAACTGGAGGAAGAGGGCGACGACTACGTTCCTCCGAAGCTCAACGCCGGTGCCCATCACGGCGCGGCGGTCCCTCTGGAGGGTGACCTGTTCGCCGTAAGTGCCCAACACCCGGACTACGCGTCAAATCCGGCAGACTACCGACTCCCCGTCGGCGCCGAAATAGTCGACCTCGACGGAAACGTGCTGCACCGCGACGAGGGCTGCGAGGGACTGCACGGCGACGCCGGTAACGGCCACATGGCAGCCTTCGGATGCATGGGCGGCGTGTTGGTAGTCGAGGCCCATGACGGCAACTACGAGGGTATGTTCATCGATGCTCCTGCCGGGTCAGCGGATGACTTCCGTATCACATCGGTATGGGGTTATCCGGGCCTTGACCATTTCTTTGGACTGGGCTCGGCGGTGGGCTCTACGTTGTCGACCCCGAGGAGGGCTCGATGGAGCAGTTCATCGCCGCATCTGAAGACGGGCCCACGCCCATCAACGTCGCCATCAGCCACGACGGCGAGGCGCTGCTGGTCGTGATGAGCGACGGCGAGCTGCGGATGTACGACGCCCACGACCTCGACCTGTTGGCCTCGGCGGATGATTTCCTGACCACGCCCGTGGAGGCCGGCTTCTGGGCCCGCCCCCATGTGGTCACCGCCCCGGGCGCGGTGTTCATCACCGACTCCGTCGGCGGCGAGGTGATGCAGTTGGACGACCACGACCTGGAGGTCGTGAATCACTGGGAAGTTGACGGCAACCCCACCAAGATCGCCTTCGTCGGAATCTACGGCGAGACTGATGACCTCGAGGAACATGGCCACGAGGAAGAGCACATGGAAGAAGGGGAAGAGGAGCACGCCCACGGTTCTCTCGACCCCCATTTCTGGTTCGACCCTCTGCGGGTGAAGCAGGCGGTCGACGGAATTGCAGCCCGGCTCTCCGCAGTTGACTCCGCTGGGCAGACTTACTATCTCGACAACGCCGCCGCTTACAACCGGGAACTGGACGACCTGCACGCCTGGATCGAGGGACAGGTCGCGGTGCTGCCGAAGACCACCGGGTGCTGGTCACCTCCCACGACAGCTTCCAGTACTTCGCCCAGCGGTACGGTTTCGAGGTGGCGGGGCCATATTCCCGGTTACCACCGAGGCGAGCCCACGGCCCAGGACCTGGCAATGCTGATCGAGACCATCGAGCACGAGGGCGTACACGCCGTGTTTACCGAGAGATCCCACAGCCAACGGCTGGCCCAGCGTGTTGCCGAGGAGACCGGCGCTGAGATCGTCGGCGGCCTGTACACCGGGTCCCTGGGCGACGAGAGCAGCGGGGCAGGGACTTACCTGGACCTGATTAGGCACAACACCACAATAATAGTGGAGGCGCTGAGATAGCCATGACAACAGCAGTTGCCATCTCCCCTCTCGCCGCAGAGGACTTAACAGTCGAATTCGGGGGAGTCAAGATTCTCGATAGCGTGAGCTTCAGCGCGGGCCCCGGCTGCATCATGGGAGTCGTGGGGCCCAACGGGGCCGGCAAGAGCACCCTGTTCAACGTCATCACCGCCCTGCTGCCGGCCACCTCGGGTAGGGTGCTGATCCACGGCAGGCCCATGACGGAATCGAGGGGTGTGGTCGCCTACGTCCCCCAATACGAGCGGGTGAATTCCCGCATCCCTGCGAGCGCGTGGGACGTGGTGATGCAGGGCAGGGTGCGCCATGCCGGATGGTTCAGGCGCCCGGGCCGCGCCGACCGCGACGCCGCTGAAGCGGCCCTGAACCGGGTCGGCATGTGGGACCGCCGCAAGTCCCTGATCTACGAGCTTTCAGGAGGTCAGCGGCAGCGGATCTTCGTGGCCCGCGCGCTGGCACAGGGCGCCGACATCCTGCTGCTGGACGAGGCGTTCAGCGGCGTGGACATCGCCTCGCAGACCGCCCTGATGGACGTGTTGCTGGAGCTGCGGGACGATGGACGCACCATCATGATGTCTTCGCACGACATCAACCACATGGCCCACTACTGCGACGAGTGCCTCTGCCTCAACTGCAACGTGTGCGCCTGCGGACCGCCCGGCGAGGTGCTCAACGAAGACGTTATGACCAGCTCTACGGGCCCTTCGGGTCGGTACCCTTCCACGGACACGGTCTTGCGGGAGACGATCATGGACATAATCACTGAGGCATTGGTCGGGGCCCTTCCAGTACGGGTTCATGGTGCGGGCGCTGATAGTGGCCATCGTAGTGGGCGTAATGTGCCCAGTGGCCGGAGTCTACGTGGTCACCCGCGGCCTGGGGTTCATGAGTGACGGACTGGCCCACTCGGTGCTGCCTGGTATCGTGGCCGCGTCCATTCTCGGGGTGGCGGCGGCCAGCGTTTTCGCCGGCGGGATCCCCATGGCCATCATCATGGCGCTGCTCAGCGGCTACCTGATCAAGCGGGCGGGGGTGGGCGAGGACGCCTCGGTGGGCATACTGTTCGCGGCCCTGTTCGCCATCGGCGTGATCATGATCAGCATAGCCTCCTCGCAGGGCGTGTCGGTCCAGGTCAGGCTGGAGGATATGCTCCTGGGCAACGTGCTGGGCGTGCCCAGGGTCGAGATGTACGTGACGCTGGGCGTGGCCGGCGCCGTAATGCTCACCCTCTTCGGTCTGCATAAAGAACTCGTCTTTTCGAACTTCGATCCCACGGGCGCATCGGTAGTTGGACTTCCCACGGAAAAGCTGGAATACATCCTCCTCGCTCTGCTGGCCATGGTCGTGGTGGTCGCCCTGCAGGCGGTGGGAATAATCCTGGTCATCTCGATGCTCATCACCCCCGCCGCCGCAGCCCTGCAGCTGACTCGCAGCTTCACCGGGCGCCATGATCGTAGCAGCCCTCATCGGAGTTGCGTCCGGCGTGGCGGGACTGTATCTTTCCTACCACTTCAACCTGCCGTCCGGACCGGTGATGGCACTGGTCGCCTTCAGTTTCTTCGTTCTGTCTATAAGTTGGAAACAGAAGGGGGCAGGCATCCTGCAACGCCAGAGGGCCTGACATGTATGACCTGAACGGGAAGATTGCCATAGTAACCGGCGCGGGCGGGCGCCATGGCATCGGCCGCGCCATCGCCACGCGTCTCGCCAGCGAGGGAGCCAACGTGGTGGTCACCGACGTTCCCCAGAGCCTGGAGGCCATCCGCGCCGAGGACCGGCAGGCAGGGCTGGGAGGGGCTGAACAGCGTGGCCGCCGAGATCGAGGCGATGGGGACGCGAATCGCTGGCCCTGTTCTCCGACGTGTCCGACAGCGAACAGGTGGACGACATGGTGGGTCAGGTCCTGGCCAAGTTCGGCCGCATCGACATCCTGGTCAACAACGCCGGTTCCCGGCCCGGCAAGGACCGGGTGCTGGTGGTGGAGCTGGAAGAGGAGGCTTTCGACGAGGTGATGCGGGTGAACGTCCGAGGCACCTACCTCGTCTCCCGCGCTGTCGTCCGCCACATGACCACCCGCGGCGGCGGCGGCAAGATCATCAGCATCTCCTCGGGCGCGGGCAAGCGGGGCATCGCCCGTTATGCCGCCTACTGCGCCTCCAAGTTCGCGGTCATCGGATTCACCCAGGCCCTAGCGCAGGAGATGGCCGAGCACCGGGTCAACGTCAACGCCATCTGCCCACGGGCTGGTGGACACCGAGCGCGTCGACTACATCGCAGCCGCCCTGGCTCCCGCCGGGGAGTCCAGCGAGAGTACCGCGCCGGCATGATCGCCGACCGCGCCGTGCGCGTACCCATGGGCCGGGTGGCACAGGGCGACGATATCGCCCGGATGGCCGCCTTCCTGGCCTCCGCAGAATCCGACTACGTCACCGGACTGTCCATCAGCGTTTCCGGCGGATCCGAAATGAACTAGGGTCAATCAACAATCGGACGGGGAGCTGGTTGGGGTAGCCGTATATGGCTGTTATAGAGCGGTGGACCTGCGGAGGGTAATTCGATTTCTCCGTGGGAAGAAATTTTCCCATTCATGTCCCATTTTGTCCCATTCCGTCCCATATTGGCGAGAATTCTCGTGATTTCCTATCTGAATTTCGCCCCGTGGGACAGAAATTTTTAATTCCCGTCCCATTTTGTCCCACCGTTCCTTCCGGCCTGTTCGCGGATGACCAGACGGCCATGCCGTCGGCTTGAAATGCACTGAGGCACTGTGGAAAGCAGCAGTCATACCAAGATATGGTACGGAGGCGCCATGAGGCTTGGCAAGCGGCAAATGTCATCAAAATGCCCAAATGCCATTGCCTGTAGTGCGGGGATTTGCGTGGGGCGTTGCGAGTCGAACCCCGCTCGACGTTACCCATTGGAGAGGTTCCCCCTGTGGCGTGGGCGTAATTGCCAAGGGCAACCGGCACGAGCTGACTGATTCCACCACAGTCGGGACCCATCAGCAGGCTACCTGTGGTAAAGGGGGCCAAGGCCAAGTTCCGGACCGCTCCCGAGGCGGACTGAGCACCGAGGTTCAACCGGTGGCTGAGGCCCAGGGTCGGCTGGAACGTTTCTTCCTTGGCAGCGGACAGCGTGTGGATGTCCGCCAAACCAGACCCTTGCTGACCGATGCCCAGACCGAGCGGTCATCGTTGCCATAAGGGGTATGAAAGCAGCCGCGTACTGGCCTTTGTCAGGGACCTGGAACCCGAGGTGGCCATACCGCCCAAGTCAAACCGCAGGGGCCCTTGGGCAGGGGCAATCGCGTCTTATTACTCAGCACACAAAACTGGTCTGAATGGCAGTGGAGATGGGAGTGGCAGTGCCTCCTTCGGTTCCGGGTGCGAGGGTAGACGGGGGGTTGGATTCCCGCCTGCGCGGGAATGAGGACTTATAGGGCCTCCAGCGTTTAGACGCGATTGCCCTGGGCCCTTGGGAGCACTACCTGAAACTGCACCTGCCGCGAAGCCTGATCGAACGGGCCGTCAACAAACGGAAGCACTGGCGCAGAAACGCCCCCCTCCCATGATCACAGGAAGATTTTCTTTCTGTCAGCTCTCTACCTACTCGCCTCCGTCATCCGGGGTTAGCGATTGTCGATTGGCCCTGGTCTCTTCGCACTGTCAAGAAAGAGAACGAAAGGCTCGCCAGTGAGGCCAGGGCAATCGCGTCTTAATTTGTAACTGCGCGATTACCCAGTTTTAGGACGTCTTTTGCGCTCAAAATTCTGGGGCGAAGCTCTGAGGGCACTGAAAATTGGGCTGGAGCAAGGCCCAGGATGACTCCAGGACAGACGAGTCTGGTCCCAAAATGCTGGTATTCGTGAGAATCATCAGTGAAGTAGATACTCATTATGCACTATAGATTAAGACGCGATCGCCCTGCCAGGAGGCCGCCTTTTATCAAAATATCGACACTCTTGTGATACAATTTCACCTCCGTTGTCAATAACCGTAAGAGTAACTTGTAACATATCCTCCGGAGGCTGCGTCATTAACCTGGGACTGCAGAAAGAGGTAGCCATCATTACCGTCGGATGCGCAGGCATCGGCAATGCCGCGGCCCTCAGCCTGTCGCAGGAAAGCGCGTCCGTCATCGTCGCCCGCCGTCCCGGCGTGCTGGAAGAAGCGGCCCGGGGCATCCGGGCCACCACCGAGGGCTAGTTGCTCCCCATCTCCGCCGATGTCGCCGACCACGCCAGTGCTCGCAGCATCAACGTCGCCAACTTTGCCTGCCGCATACCAGGCCGGCGTCCATGCCCGCCTCCATCTCACGCGACGCTGGCATCGCCAACACCGATTGCCTGTCCAAAGATCTCGCCGGCAAAATTCTGGTCTCCACAGTGTGTACAGGCCTGATCAGGAGCGGCCAGCAGCAGCGATTAGACTCCCGCATCCAGAAAGAGCCCGACCTCAGCATCGACGCCTTCTGCAACCAGCTTGGCCATCGTCAGCTGAGTGCCCTTGGGCCACGTCGGCGAACCCGAAGAAGCAAGCGATGTCATCGTCTTCCCGGCCTCCGGGCGTGCCAACCATCCCTACGGCATAGCGGTCATGCTTCAAGCCAGCCAGTTGAGGAACTTCGCAGGGTGACACCTCCCATTCCAGGCAGCGAAAGATGGTAGAAGCCTTTGGCGGCATAGTCGGGGGGCTGGGCCTGTTCTTTGTGGGAATGTGGCTGCTCTCCGAAAGCCTTAAACGGACAGCCAGCCGCAGGCTTCGCGAAATTGCCGCCAACTGGGCTCCCAATCGGTTCGCCGCACTGGGCTGGGGAGCGCTGGCCGGGGGCATCATCCAGAGTATGCCGACGCTGACCTTCATTACCGTCAGCCTGATGCGGTCCAACCTGGTTTCCACGCAACGCGCATTCGCCTTTATCCTCGGCGGAAACCTGGGCGTGGGTACCCTGGTGCTCCTGGTATCGCTGGACGTGAAACTTGCGGCCCTCTACGTTCTCGGAGTGGCCAGTGTGCTGATGGTTAGCGAGAGAGCGATCAGGCTACGGAACGTCGGCGCGGTGCTATTCGGTGTCGCAATGATGTACGTAGGTCTCGGCCTCGTGAAGGAATCTGCCACCGCCCTGGCAATTCAGCCGGTGTTGGCCGAATTTTCCGAGTTCTCGTCGCGCTCCCTGTTGCTTACTTTCTTCGGGGCCGCGGTGCTGTCCTTCGCCGTACAGTCCTCCGCTGCCGTGGCCGTGTTCGCCATCAGCATGGGCACTCTCGGCATCCTCACCAACGACCAGGTGTATGTGTCGGTCTTCGGCTCCTTTGCCGGCACGAACATCACCCTGCTGGCCCTTTCGTGGACCCTGACCGGCGGGTCTCGCCGCATCGCCATATTCGAGGTGTGTTACAACTTCCTGCTGGTGTTTGCGTTCGTTCCGATTTTGTACGCCGAATTATGGTCGGGCGTGCCACTGATGAAATCCCTGGTCCTGGCCATGCCCCTTGACCAGCCAATGGCGCTCCTTGGCGTAATGAGTGACATTATCGGGGTCACGATACTCCTCCTCTTCCTGCCCTTGGTGGTGAGGCTCTTTGCCCGCCTTTGGCCGGGGACTGCGGCTGAAGCCATGTCGCGTCCCGAATACATAGGCGACCGCAGCTATGGAAACGTTTCCATAGCCCTGGGACTGATAGCCCTGGAACAGCAGCGGGTGATTTCCAGTTTTTCGTCTTATATGGATGCCGTGCGGCGGGGAGGCGGGATTGACACTGCGAGAGACTCCGTCAGGACCCTCATCAGGGATATAGAAGAATTCTTGACCGAGGTGAGGCTCCGTCATCCCGGTTACTCCATAGAGGACGTCAACTCCATTCTGACCCGCCAAAGGCTGATTGTCTGGCTGGAAGAGCAATTCTCTGAGCTGTGCGACTCCCTTGGTCAATTAACCGGCGGTGAGGCGGGGGAGCGGTTGCGGGGCGTGATGGTCGAGGGAATGGACACGGTAATCCTGACCGTTTCGGAATGCCTGAACAGCGGCAGCCCTGATGACTGGGCAACCGCGAACCAAGTCACCAGCGACCGCTCTGAGGTGCTGCGCCAAATCAGGAGCGACTACATGTCACAAGACAGCAGTCTCGACATGAAAAATGCGTTACCGGCGAAGATCGTCGAGGTGACAAATACGTCAGGAGAGATTTTCTTCCTGCTCTCCCGTCTACTCCGGGAAGTGGAGAAATCCCCCATGACGTTTTCCTCCGTAAAAGGCAATCCCTAGAAACGATCTCAAGGCCGTAGTTGCCACCGGCGGCGGTACCAGGCCGGGGCGCACGGCATTTGGACCAGGCCGAGGTACGTTCCACAACCCGCCGTCAGCGTTCAATATCCTGAGAATCCAGTTTCTCCTCCTCTGTCCCAGCAAGAGAGCATCGGGGCATCGCCTGCCACAATTCGCCTGCAGCCCGTGAGTGGGGTGCCGGCGATTTTCATTTTGCTAGCGAAACAAGGGAACGATCACGGCATTCGGCGCATATTATCAATTGAACGGGACATCGCAAATTCAGGCGCGAGGGCACTCCATGACTGACAACGAAGCCATTTTGCGATGCCAGGACGGCGATCGCGAGGCCTTCCGTCACCTGGTGGACC